AATCAGTTATAGCTAATATTTCGCCCGGCATACGGGGCTTCGCTTGTCATATTGCCCATATTTGCTGTGGTGACCTTCCAACGTGATGATTCTAACCGCCGCGGTGTCCAAGCGCGCTGCCTTCACAGTAGACGTTGAGAGTACACACAATTTATGAGGAAAATTACAAAAGACTATGATTAACAATTTGATAATGATTAACATTTAATAACTGCATTGTGCTAACTTCAATTTCATGCTTCGCACATGTTTTTTGCTGCCAAATGGCGTTTTAAACCTAATTTGATTGTTATCTTGAGGCAGAAAAGTCTATTACCACTGTATTAAGAATGTCGACTTTAAAGAACTAAATAAAACACATTTAAGATTTAAGATTTCCCAAAACTCCTCTGACTACTGAGTTTCTTTATTATTTATCTGACAGTCTTGTTTCACAGGCCTAGTCTGTTAAATAGACTTCAGTTCTTTCAAGTAAGTTCACCAGAACGAGAATTGGGCGCACTAGACCAGACTCTCTATTATTTTATATAGTGAGTCTGGTACCCAGGGTAAATAAAAGCAAGCGATCCAATTTAGAGGAATTTAAAATAAAAAAAAATGGTTCTACTATCAAAGAAAGTAAGAATTTTAAGCTGTTGGGAGTAACACCAGACCAAAGACTTAAATTAGAAGAATATATCAGAGTTTTTTGTAAAAAGATAAACGCTCTAGCCGGGATAGCCTCGTACATAGACGAATCTAAGCGAGTTCTTTTTAATAAAAACATTCATCATTGACTTCTTTTATAGATGTTTGCAGTAGGAAAAGTAATAGCCGGTTTGAAGAACATTTGATAAAGAATACAAAAGTAATTTTTTTTTAAAACATTTAACGGTTTGAATCCACCTTTTACGGATGAAATATTTTCCATAAATGAATGCTGATATTACTTAAGAAACTCCCAATTCAAAACAGCGGAGCCACAAAATATTTGGATTTAATACCGTATCATGTGTATATAGCCAAATATAGAACTAAGTTCCAAACGAAATAAAATTTTCATCGGTTAATTGTGACCTTTGCAAGGAATACATATTCAACATTGGTTATATTTCATTTACATTATATTTAGCGTTGGTTATTCAAATTAGTTGATTTTGATTAGCTGTGTACGGCTAGAGATTGTACCAACTTTAAATAGAGAAGAAAGAATCCAACAAAAACAGAGTACATGATTTTGGGTCACCCTTTGATCTTTAGAAAACTGTAACCATGGCCCCTCCGACCCCTCGGTGTCCTTTTGCCCACTATAGGCCCATGCATCAGTCCTACCTAAAAGCATTCAAACGTAAGCAGCATAAAAGATATCCAAAGGTATGAGAAATTTTCATGATACTGGGAAAAGGGACTAAAACTATCAGAGTTGTACAAAAATGCAAATTTTCGCTAGACGAAAATAAAAGGGTTTGTGGGTTGGTTTTGGATTGTTATATAAAAAGGCAAACAACACTCTTGTAATAAGGCTTCACCAATCAAAGTCAGACCCAGGCTATATTGAGCCCATAAATACTCGTATGCCTACATCAACCAAGGGAACAAAAGCGCTATGAAGCCACACACCTTACCCTAGTATTCGGAACAAAAAAACCCAAGAAAGAAAAAGGACTCCACAGCATTATTGTACAATTGATAACAATGAGAACACGAGGAAGCACATCACAAGAAGAAAACAAAAAAGGGAACAATAATGGAATCAATTAAGGGAAGAGTTCCCCTCATGAAATTACGTCTTATCAAATTTTATTTAATCATCAAACTATCTTAGTCATCAAACAGTGACTATTTACCATGACTACCAAATTTCTAACCGGAATTTTCAAACGCTACTCTGGAGAACGTCCTTCCCACTTCAGGCGGCGTTGATGTAACACGCTGTCAAAAGACGGTAGCCTGGGCTCCAGACCCTTAACTTGAAAGTAGAGGTCTGGACACAGGTCTACTTTCAAGTTTGGGGTCTGGGACACAGGTTAATAGACGGGAGGGCTCCACAATTTTTGAAGCACATAAAGATTGCTGACATTGTCTTGCCATTTGGCGCGCAGGATCTGTCGCAGGCTGCGTTGTTGGAATGCCTCAAGTTTCTTCGTGTGTCTAGCGTAGGTGCAATGGCAGATCTAGACCGGAGCAAACGAAGCAGCTGCTCTAGTTTTAGAATTTCCTAAATTTATCATAGTGCCTGTTTGACCTTAACGTAGCTCTGATACTTCATAAATCATAAACTAGTGCTTCCTGATGCTCTCCAAGCGATCCCCGTAGACTAGATAGGTGCATTAGAGAACCTGTTTACAATTTGTTATCTGAGTTGTAAATGTATTGACTGTGGAGAAGATTTTCACAATTTTGCTCCACATAAAATACGTCATGGTCAAGTAAACCGATCAGGCCACTGGATTTCCCTATAGTTTATGAAAATTTGCTCCAGGAAGTGCTGGATAGTCAATCAAACTGCTGAGGAACTGGAGCAAAATATAGCTCTGCGATTGGTTTGAACCCGTTATCGTGAGCAAGTTGGAGCGCACCCTCACGAATTGGGGCTTCGGTAATGTTCTGTAACGGCGATCACTCTTTCATGAATAAAGTTCAGTCACTTTTTCAAACTAAGAGAAAAATGAACCCTAGTGCACTCTTTATTTAACAGCAAGCATAGAGTTAGTTGCGTGGTCTAATGGAGAAAGAATACCCTCAACTAAAGTACAGTTTCAAGTAGTTGTTTAACAAAAACTCGAAATGACTACTAGTTCTTTTGAGAATTATGTGCTATTTTAACATTTTATGTACCATTAAAACAATCCCATGAAATTGATTTGAAAGATACAGCTTTTAGAGAATCTAAAGTCGAGGTCGTAAATATTTTTTATCAGGCTCCTCCCTCAGCCCCCCTCCCCTCAAATTGTGCTGTACTCAATATTTTTGCTAGATCCGCCCCTGAGGTGGTCCAGCTTTCGGCGCCATATAGCAGTGTGGTAAGGACGACGGCCCAGTATACTATGGGTGTCATCTATGACAAAAATCAGTTATCGAAATCTGGAATGTATGGACTACATTGCATGAATCCAGCAAATGCTAAATCCCGAATTCTGGCAAGTTTTATCAACCATTTCGTAATTTGTTAATGTTTCATACTTCAATTTTGATTTCCAAATATCTATTTTCGCCGTAAAACATCATTTTGTCATTCGGTTATCTATCATTCTGCAATCAGTCTTTTCATGGTTTGCGATCATGCGTCCACCATTCCATATTCCACAATACCAAAGTAACTGTTGCTCATTTCAAAGTCTTAAGGCTGATTTCCATTAGGCGAATTCTTTCGCGCGAATCGAATTTTTGCCAATGTGAGCATGCGTGGTGTAATGTCATCAGATTTCGCAGCGAAAAAGTTCGATTCGCAGAAAGTAGATAACGGTCCTACTCTATCGTTACGAATATTTTTTCGATTCACGCGAAAGAATTCGCCTAGTGGAAATCGGTCACGCGAAAGAATTCGCCTAGTGGAAATCGGCCTTTACTGTCGTTATAAATTGCCTGATAGCCTCATTTCGATCATTTGTTGCAAGAAACCTTCCTGGGCGGTCACACACTAGAAGCGCTTTTTTGTTTGATGCAAATTACCGACAGAGTAAAAAACCCATTCAAGAAGAAAAATAGCAATTTTTATAGAAGAGAAACTGTTTTGCGTAGCCTGGAACATGCCTGAACACATTGCAACTGATTGACTTGACCCATTAAGCAGAAGTAAGCCCGAACGAATATTTAGACCCAACAAGTATGTCATAAAACTTACCTGTCAGAATCAGACACAACTTCGCTGTTGGTGTTGTGAATTAACATATTCTATTCCTTGTATTCTGTCAGTTTCTGGCATTCCTTCGACAAAGTCCATAACCGATAAGGGATTTTTGGTAGCAAAACAGCCTTAAATTTTAAGAAAGTTGCTTCTAGCCACGGACCCAAGTTTTTCATAGAATAATGAGAATGAAAAGCAGTAAAAAATGCCATCCATCCAACCAACGGAGATGATGAAGAAAGGTATGGTAAAATGAGCGACAGTAACTTAGGTATGCAAAGAGATGAGTAATAGGCAGGGTTATGGCTGTGAAAATCTGATTTCTCATAAAACCGAGATGATCTCGATGGTTTTACATACTTTCGAGTATGGAGATTCAGAATCCAAGATGGGACCATAAAAATTTTGCGAACTTCTCGCTATGTCCAATTTGGACTATACTGACGTTCCTCTTCGACCTCTTCCGTTTAGACTCCTAAAATGATTGCAAAAGGCTAAAAAATACAGGTATTCTACTAGGCCCATACGCCAGAGAAAAAGAAGTGGTACAATTGACTGGTTTCCAGTGAAGGAACGTAGAAACTGGTATCTGATGAAGCACTCATTTAAATACACGTGATACTGAGGCAAAATTTTTATGGTCCCATCTTGGATTCTGAATCTCCATACTCGAAAGTATATAAAACCATCAAGACCATCTCGGTTAGGTGAGCAATCAGATTTTCACAGCCATAGCCCTGCCTAATACTATTTTTCGTTGAAGATTGAAATAACAAACAGAAAGTGCTTTATTTCTTTATTCACCGAAACTTCAAAAATTGACCGAAATTCTTTCAACCGAAAATTTATCTACCGAAATTTTTGGCACCGGACGTTTTGCACAGTTTTCATTTGCTCATTTTAATCTTTTTTAAAATAATGTGTCGTGAAAATGATTGGCTAATGCAATACAATTATCTTTTTTGTTTAGCACAAAGCATGCAATTGAGGGTGAATTTTTACGGTAGTAAAAATTCAGGAAGAAGAAATGAAAACTCACGTAACAATGGAATCTCCAAACGCTTTTGTTTTATTAAAATATACGAACAGAGTTTTGAGGAAGATTGGGTCTAGTCATGTGATTTTGTTGATATCACATGCTAGGAGCAAACAGATTTGATTGGGCATCGCAATTGTGTGCTGAGGCGTTTGTTGTGCAAGCCGACAGCAGAGTTTATATGGTAAAGAAAAAGTCGTTGTTGGCAGTGAAGTAGGGTCAGCCAAAGTTATTATATTTTGTTAAGGCATCTGTTTTTGGGTAGTTCAGATGCCTACGGCAATGTATCGCGATTTTCATAGAAGGCACTCCAGTGGTGAAGCCGAGTATAGGCGAGACTATGGGCGCAGTGGACGTCCCCTACGGCGAAAGGATTACCGCAGTCGTAGCAGATCCAGAAGAAGGGAGAAAAGGGAGAGGTATTTTCGAGGTTCATCTGGGACCAGAACAAGGCGAAGATCTGATGATCGAAAACTGCGTTTGAAGCAATTTCATGATGCTTGTGCGGTGAGTTTTTAATTTAACATACAGATTCGTTGACAAAATAATTTTGGCCTAAAATCCCAACCTCGTGCTTTCAGTTTGAAACGAAATATTTAGCAGCAAGGGCTTTTACCTTATTGAAGTTTTTACCTAGGTACCGTTTTTCTTTGAATTTTTGTTAAAGTGAAAAAGTACTAAATTTAAGCTCTTTGCAATCAATTGTGGACTGAAAAAATGATGTTGAACAATCACCGCCGAGATCCACATTCTGGGCAATTTTTTATCTTTGTATTTGCCAAAAGTGGATCACAGAATCGGAATCTTCATGTTCAAATTAGTCATTACTGGAAATTTCATGTTGTTCGGGACGTCAGGGAGTGAATTACCCCCTTTTCAAAATTTAGCTTTTCCTATATATTTAAATGGAATTTGTTGCTATAGTGAAATTTTTTCACTACAGCAGCAAATTCCAGTCAAATCTAAAGAAATGAAGTTCAACAGCATGAAGTTCTTTATATATACTGATTTTAAGATGAAGATTTCAAATCTGAAGTCAATTTTTGAGAAAAGTTGTAGATACCGAGATGTAGACACGATGATATCGACCCAGAACGGTGAATTAGACTAAATTTTTTATAAAAATTAGAAGGTACCTTGCAATAATGCTGACTATTAAGTCTTATTACGTCTACGACATACATGAAAGAATTCTTTATAAAGTTTTTGCCAGGTAAAAGATAAACAAATGAATTCTCATGGAAAGATAGCCTACTATAGAAAAGTATTGCTAATTAATGTTATATGGGCCATTTTCAATTTAGTTCCCTGACAGTCAAACAAACAAATGATAAGATATGAAATTTTCCCAAAAACTAAGAATCCAAACGTTTATGAATAGAATGCAAAAATGACATGGAACAAACTTTTGGAGGTTTCTGGGCAGTTTATTTCCAATATTTGATTAATTTCCAATGTTTTTATATTTGATTAAAACAGAGCTATTTTTCTACTGCCCTCACATGTTCAGCATTATTGTCATCATCAGAATCACAATTCCAGACTAATATATACAGTATTAAATGATTTTTAATGTTCTTTGATGCTTTAACTTCGTTCTGGGATATCTTAATTCAAGAAACTACCTAGTGTAATCTAAGACAGGTGCTAAAATTATTAAGGCTGATTCAAAACCTTTTTAAAAGTTTATAATATGTTCACATAAAGCAATATGTTTTTGAGCATTAGATAAAGCACTTGATAGCTACATCAACATCCTTGAGTTGAAAACATCCCACTACAAATATTTTTAATTAGGGAGATTTTGAGTGATGACATTTTGCTATGTCATTCTGCTTGCCATAAACATTTAGTCTGCACCTGCATGGTGTGTGGCATGACACAGTTCTATTTAAAGTATAAATTTAACACCATCTGAATATGGAATCTTGAAATTATGCTGAAATGCCCTGCTAAATGAATGCAAGGGTTTCAGGAATACTGCAAGGGTTTCAGGAATAAAGATACTCTGTTTCTTTGGCAAACTCTTTTAGGTCCATGTTTGAGAAATCATATGTTAGAACATTAGATAACCATAGGCATGTTAGTACAGATGGAACCCTTTACCCCTCCCCTGGTCTTTGGTTTCAGTAACAGACACTTAGGGGGGAGGTGGTTGCCCCCCCTCCACAATACTACTTTGGTTGACAATGGTCTTTTGGTCTAAAACAATAGGAAGATGTGATGTCATCTTATTAAAACAATAGGCTTGCCTCCCAAAGATTTGACAAACTATCCGCCCCAGTTTGGTTTTTCTACCTGAACTATCAATCTGTTTCATCAACTAGAGACTCTTCCTATCCCCTGTCCTTAAACCATCCAGCATGCGTATCTATTATTCTTGATATCCCCTGTCCTTCTTCATATGCCCAGAGTATAGGGTGCACATTTTGGCTTTTTTTCAGTTTTTATCAAATTTGAGTGATAAAAGCCAAATGTCATCAGATTTCAAATTTTATCAAATTATAAATAGCGCAATGAAAAATTTTAACATATAACCATCTAATTTTGATTTTGCTTTCTTTTTTAAGAAGTTAGGAGTCTGTATGTTTGATTTAGACTTCTTAAATCCCTGACAAATTTTATGTAGAAGCAGAACAAAGAGACAATATCAACAAATGTATATACATAGTTTATATCACTGTCATACAGAGCTAGGCCACTGATTAGAGGATTTACCAAATATTAAATGTTGTACAACAGCACAATATTCTGTGTGATGTTGTGTTGATTTGCAAAGATATATAATACCCAGTATTTTTCTTTTGTTGCTAGAGCAACTGTGTCTATTGTGTACAGTGTTATTTCTTCTTTTTGCAGTTTTAAGCGTATCTACTACATAATTGTTCTTCTGATTATAACATCTAGTTTAAGTCCCTTAGAATAATAATTCTATTAGAATTAAATGTTTAAGTCATTCTAATATATTCTAAGGGCTCAAGTATCAACCTATGATTTCTCATGCAGACCATAAGAGACTACCATACTTATTATTAGGTTGGGTACTCTGCAGTATTTTTTCATTTTTTCAGCACCTTTATAATATCTTACATGCAGAATGTCACTCTTTAAATACCTGACACTCATGAGATTTTGCTATGGTTTTTGTTATATACCTGTATGTGCTCGGATGATTGAAAATATTGCGGTTGGCCTCATGCTGAAATTGAAAAATGAATTTGATTGAATTTGGGAATGAATGATGAAAACAGAGAAAAGAGGAGACACACAGGAACGGACATCACAGTTATGATGAAAGGGGACATTCACATAGCCACCATGATAGTCACTACTCAAGCAGAAACTCCAGTGTAAGAGATGATGAAGATGGACACCTTATCTATCACCATGGAGACTGGCTCGTGAATAGATGTACTTGAGCAGTATTTCTTTAAGCCTTTATATCTGCTTGTCTGAACCAGATTTCCTTAGGTGTCACAAATTAACAACAGTTCCATTTTGATAGTTAGTTTTTCTAACTCAACCAATGTGTCAGAAATCAGTCTTAAAGTGAATGTGAGATGTCGTCGGTTAATGATTCACCCATCTATAAAGATGTGTAGGAAATAGCCACACAAAATGGTTGTAGATGCACCAAAGGACCATTTTGGTTCATCATAAATTTTTTTGGAATTTTAATCTGGCAATTGCCACAAACAAACAACATCATAATGGTTGTTCCCAGTTGATGGGCAGAAAAGAGATAATGCAATTATTTTTCAGGGGCAGAGATTAGTTTTTAATCAAAGAAAATCATAGCTTTAAAATGGCAACCTATAGAATATCCAGAATTATGTACAAAGTTATTTGAATTTAATTGACACCTCAATCTATACATAATTTCATCTATTGAACAAGTATGGCTTTTATTTATTTTAGATGAAATTCAAGGAACCCTTGGGGAAGGAACCTTTGGTAAATGTCTCAAATGTTATGACAGGTAATCTTGCAGTTTTGTTTTTAATGAATTGCCTATGGATGGTTATGTGTTGTTGATATTACTCTAAGTCAGTTTGATTGGCTAACAGCATGGAAATTAGTGTTCATTGAAAGTAAATGAAATGCTTTGAATTCTAACTCAAAAACGCTTTCCGGTTCTTGGGTGTTTAAAGGGCCTCTCCAGCCAAAACATTTTTTTTTATTGACTAAAAAGTTAATATCTGGTGCATGTATTATGGCAAAGTATTTTTTTTGCAAAATTCCGATGCCCCTTTCCCCTTTCCGAGAAAAAAACCACAAGAGCCAAATCAATTTGGTGACATTCTGACGTCACAATGTGTGGCTCTTGTTCGCCATGAATTTTGTATGTCTTCCAATGAAGCGTGAAGGATAACAGAGCTTTGTTGTATCCAAGATGGCTCTGCATCACTCAGCTCCCGAAAATCGGATGTGTTTGCAATGCCTTTGCTCTCTGCATTCTTTTTCAACAAATGATTAAATCAGCTTTGGTTTAAATGCTTCTGTTCTCCGTGGTGGCAGGCAACATTGCTTTGGTTTAACCCAAGCAAACAGCATAGCAGTTAGAACACCAAGTAAAGTGAAGGCTGTCTCACAATTGTCATTCAACTTGGAACAAGAAAGAATTTTGGTACAGATGTATCAAATAATTATAAAGAACAATCATGTTTTTCAAACCCTTTGATGCATGTCATCTGTTAACATGTTGGATGTATGTGATACATTTTAGATCAAATACTTGAGCATTTCTACCTTTTAAATAAAATAATCCACAAAATGTATCATAACAAAGAGGATGACATCATAAAGACTAAAAATTTCATCCTGACACGTCCAGCAAGCAGGAGAGACCTTAGTCATGGTCACGCGTTGATAAAAGTTATAATGTGAATTTACTAGCCAGCTTGCATACTTAGAAGTAATAACTGCATCTAAATCTACAGTAAGAATTTCTTAAGATTGAACAATATTAAATGCATACCATGATCCCATTTCTGTGAGTCTGATTGTATCCTTGCTGTGTCACAACCTTGTTTTGATCACTTGTGTATGCTTACAAAGCTATGGCTTCCTGTTCCAGCTCTTCCATTGTGTATAACAAATCAAAATTGATATTTAAGTTGTTCTCAAGAAACAATGAACAACTAATGGTATCAGAATCGGTGTCTGAAAAGCTCAAACTAACAGTCAGTGGAAAAGAACTGAGAGTACCATCTAGGCATTAATTTAATGTGCCTACAGTCACGGACGTGCCTCGTCAACCAAAATATGTGCTTGTTTGTTTCAATGGCGTGCCTCGACTTTTCGTGCAGCTAACTTGAACACTAAATGTTTCGTGGCTATGATTGCTGATATATTCAATACTGTTGCAGAAACGGCCAAAACAACAAAAACATAGGAAGGCAAAACCAGGCACCGTGCAGCCATTGGGCTAGCAGGGGCCATAGCCCCTCCACTTTTTTGCAAAAACATGTTAAAGAAAAATTTTACTCTAGAAAAATTTTACTCCAACTATGCTCTAACGCAACTTTCAGTTGCTTGCATTTGCAAACTGTGATTTAATCGGGTTTGGAATTGAGTACTGTGAAATTCTCGCACTGCTGAGCTTGATCAATGATTAAACGATTTAAACCAATCAGAGACAACTTTGATTCCAGAATTTTTGAATCAAATGTGTTGAATCAGATTGCTGATGTAGTAAAGTTGTGGCTAGAAAAATTTTATTCCCTATTTGGTTTGCACTGTTTTTTTGGCTCTGTTAATAAAGTAACAAACATGGACTGAATTACAGAGGTTTGAGAGGGAAAGAACATGTGCACTTGTGGGCATATCTCAGCCAATTTGTAATGCATTTGACTGATTTTGTGTATTAGTTATTTATGGCATCTTGATAAGAGTATTAATTAGTAAAATGTCACCACTTAAGAACTCTATTGCATCACCAATAAAATTTGGGTTTTGAAATCTTCATATAACTATTTCCAATCACTAGTAATTGAAAGTATAATGCAGACATTTCCCAAAATGTGACGCACTATGCAACATATACCTAGAAATGAACATTCCTAAAGTTGCCAAACTTCTCTGTGATTAAAGGCAAATATGTTTATAATATTAAGTACATTTCATTAAAATATTTGATAATGTAAATTTGATGTGTTTTCAAATCCATGTTATATAATTTTCTTGTAGGAAGCGTGAAAGGGTCATTGCATTGAAAATAATAAAAAATGTAGACAAGTACAGGTGAGTCGATGTGAAATTTTTTATGACTCTTTTTAAAAACGTCTGGTTTTCACATTCTACTAAGGGCTTATAAAACATGCAACTGTCTTAAAGTTTTTTGAATTTTTTCCAGGGAAGCTGCAAAACTTGAGATAAAAGTATTAGAGAAGATTGCACAAAAAGATCCAAATGATGAGAGGTATATTTGAATTTTAAGTATATTTTCAACTACTGATACAGCGAACACTTGTAAGAAGTATTATTGCTATTTTCTTTTGCTAGTTCAATAATTTCTGTGAGTTTTTGTTGTGTAAATTATAATTCAAGGAATCAGATCTGAAAATTACAGACTGTATGTAATTAATGGTTTTTAATCTTTATGGATGTCTGTTTCTTTTTGACATTCTATATAGTGAGTTGCAAACAGCCTTCAATCACTGAGATCACAAGTACCTAGGGTGGATAATTTTAGCCTGCCTTCAATGGCAAACAGCCATTCATATATTGATTTGTATTGCATTTTACAAGCCTTTTTGCATGTACCAAGTTTTCATCTAATCACCATGTCAAAAGTTAATTAAAGATTTGAATGGAGTTGAATTCCGTTAATAAAGATAAAGGGCAAAAGATGTGTCATATTAGTATGTTGCAAAATCTGCCATCAACAGAAAGAAGCAATTGGATACACCTCGACTATAGCTTGTCTGCAAAGAAAGCTTTATTGTCTTATGATTACAACAATGAAGGGAAAAATGAAATAGATGTTGAAACAGACAGTGATTGTATCCAACAAGGAATTTTTGTTTACAATTTGCACAGTTGAATCTGCAATTTTAAAATTTTTAGAAAAAAATTTTAGAGACCAATAAATGTTTCTAATACAGGTGTTCACTGCACTGCTTGAATGGCAGTTCTAGCACTTTGCTAATGTGCCAAGCAATTACACAAATATTCTTGTTTTTTTCTACATTGATGATGTCTTTTTGCAGTCTTTGTATAAAGTTGCAAACATGGTTCGAGTATCATGGCCACATTTGTCTTGGGTTTGAAAGGCTTGGAAAAAGTGTATTTGATTTCATGGTAAGAATGCTTTCCATATTTTGAATTTGAAACTGTTCCCATTGTATAAAAGTTAAAAGCACCTCCAATGAATTTTATGCTTGATTTGTTGTATTTTAATAGCTCAAATTGTGCCTGTGCATGGATAATGAACTATTAATAAAAATAATTGTAATTGTACGATCTCGCCAATCTTTATCCTTATGATCTTGAATTGTGATTTCACTGCCTTAAGCCATTGACACAAAGAAAACAAAGCTGCTGTTTTTTTGTATGTCTTTACTTCAGCGAAATGAAAACTAACTAACTAAAAATCTATTGGAAAAGTATATATATACATATGGGGTGGTTAATTATGTAAAACAAATAAGGTGGCGTGTAAAAGGAAGGGCTAGGTCGAGTGAAGTCAGAGATAGTCTTTAGAACAGGTTATCTTTGGCAATTAGACAACTGGTTTTGGCACTGTCCATGTTTTTGTGTTTTTTCTTCATTTGTACTATTTGTATAACACCAGTCAATGTGGTCTAAGTTCAGTACGTTACTATGGAGCAAAAATGCTGGAATGACATTCCTGTAGAAATAAGAAGGTCACCATCAATCAAGATGTTTTGCCAGAAACTGAAAAGTTACCTGTTTGAGCATAACTATTGAATCAGATTATTGATGGTCAATATTTACCTAGAGTTTCTTAGATTTTATCTGAAAAGAGGAGGTGCTCTCTTCTTGATAAGCTTAGTCATTGAGAGAGTTCCTCCTTAAGAATTCCCCTTCATACAAATCCTCTGGCGTTATGTATCTTTATCCCTTTATGTTTGTTATTGTCTTATTAATTTATATGTAGTTATTTATTATTGTTAGTTTTAGTTAAGAGAGTTTTTGTATGTAGTGGAATTTAAAAATGAATAAATGAAACTGAAAATGAACTGAACTGAACTGAACTGTATTTAATTCTGTCTAACACCAAATGTGTGCTATCTTTATCTGTACCAATGCATTTATATATTTGTTTGTTTTGCAGAAGGAAAACAATTATCAAAAGTACCCAATGCATCAAGTTATGCATATTTCACATCAACTTATTTCAGCTGTTAAATGTAAGTTTTATGTTGTGATACATGGCTTGTTTCTTCCTTTACAATCCTAGACTCCTTTACAATCCTAGACTCCTTTACAATCTCTTTCATCAGTATTGTTTTTGGATTCCATTCCTTTGAGTTTTTTATTTTAAAGATAATGAATTGACAAGATAGCATATAAATATTTTCTTAGGCAAGCTTTTGAAAGCCAAAGTTTATTGGAGACAAATCATATTGCCCTCCTAAATTCATATTGTTTTTATCCTTGCTTTTGTATATCAGGCCCTTGTGAAGTAACATTATCATCTCTTGCAGTTTTACACAGTATAAAATTAACACACACTGATCTAAAGCCAGAAAATATGCTGTTTGTTGACTCTGGTTATGATGTTTATTGGAACAAAAACATGGTGAGTCTGAAAAGAACCAATATTTTTGTCTAAACATTTGAAGCAGTTTTTCAACTGCTGTTACAAGATTTGCAAAAGATATCAACTTTATTTAATTTTAATTATGATTATGATTGCCAATATGATTATCCGTTCTTATTGTCTCTTGCCAAACGTATGTATACATTGTGTAAACTCTTATGTTTGTAGCAACAAGAATTGAAAATCCTTAGGAACAGCGAAATAAAACTAATAGATTTTGGTTCTGCTACGTTTGACTGGGAACACCATAGCACAATTGTTTCCACCAGGCATTACCGTGCACCTGAAGTTGTCCTAGGTAAGTTTCCGACTTGAAATATTTCATAAGTATTATATATATACTTTTCTCTTCAAAATTCAAGGAGAACAAAATTCTGTATATACTTTTTTTTCTGATTATGTCTAGTAGATTAAATTTAAAAACACAAGTATAGCTGATTTTGGAAAATTCTGCATACATTGACAAATTTAAGGTTGCTCTACTTGTTTTGAACAGAAAAGCTGTTACACTGCAATTTTCTGTCTTTGATGTCTCTTTTTGACATTGAATGAGCCATGGTACATGAAAAGTTCAATAATCATAAAGATTCCATAAATATACTATATTGCGTGCGGTACAATATAAAGCTATAATAACGATCAATGTAAGTAAATTGTACCAGGAGAATTTTTTTTAAATGAATGACGACGTTTCGAGCCTAGCTCGTTATCAAGTGGAAATAATCAGTTTTTGTTAACAATGAATGAATTTTGGCAACAAGTCAAGCAATAAAACTTTGTCTTTTGTAATTTTAATTTCTACTATATACAGATAGCTACATCATGCAAGCAAATTTATTTTTGTCACTAAAATTCTCTTTTACTGTTCATGTTGCTTATGTTGTTAATGTTTTATTGGCTAAATCAATGTTTGACTCAAAAGTTTATCTTGGGTGTTTTTACAACAATTTGTTTGACAGAGCTAGGCTGGTCATTTCCATGTGACATTTGGAGCATTGGTTGCATAATGTTCGAGTTGTACACCGGCAATACCCTTTTTCAGGTAGGATATTTATCAGTTTTCTGCCTTTTTGCAGAAACACCTTTCGTTCCTGGCAGTACATTCAAACGGCACAGTTGCTCTCATAAAAATCAACATTTAAACAAAATTTTGACTTATTTGTCTTTTAGTTCGAATAGTTACTTGCTTAATAGATTTACTGGGTACTACCCTTTGCCATATTGTGGGCTGTCATCTTATTTCACCTCTGATTCTGCTCATTTATCTTTGCATTACTTTCTGTCAGTTTACATCTTGTTCTTCTTTTTACAGTTTTAGGGTAATTTTTCTTAGGCGTTTTTTCTTCCAAGTTATTTTGATCAGGTCAGTCTAAATTCTTAATCGTTTCATTTTTACAGACACATGACAACCGGGAACATTTAGCAATGATGGAAGCAACTTTTGGACCGATCCCATCCGAGATGACTCGTAAAACTAAGTAATTTTTATTTTTTTCTTAAAATATTTTTTTTTATTACTCTGCGCGCCTATTGGCACTGGGGATTGATACACTAAATGAAACTTTGCTGCCTACAGAGCTAATAATTTGAAATCCTCATATTGCAACAGCATTCTGCATCTTTTTGGTAGTTGAATGATGATATAGTATCCCTTTTGTTTATTGTTTATAGTTTTTATAGTAAAATTTTGATGAGCATTTTAAATAAAAAACTGTTTTAACTTTTAAATATGCTCTGATAGTTTATATTATTTCAAGAACGGTCTCTAAGTGTAAATCATGTCATTTTTAGGAAAACCAAATACTTTCGAAAGGGAAGGTTAGAATGGGATCAAACGAGTCCTGATGGCATTTATGTGAAAGACAATTGCAAGCATCTGCGGGTAAGGGCATTTTTGTCATGCAATTATTAACTGTTTTTGGATCATCATAGTCTTCTCTGATATTATTATAATTTTACTAATTTATTGCTTGTCCTGTTTGAAGGAACATGCGTCTTCAAAGATCGAGACAGACCGCAGGTTCATAGATTTGCTAGAGAAACTCTTGAGCTACGACCCAAATGACAGATTGACAGCAAGGGATGCGATGAAACATTCCTATTTCGATGAATTGCGTCACAGGGCTCAGGCAACAACGCATTTTAGGGGGTCACATTCATCGGAGCGGTACCGTGAAGACTGATGGTTTTACTGTCTTCTTGATCAGTGCAAATAATTTGGCAAGTAAGCGAGCAACCTCAACTCGTCCCCACAAGAGAACTGTTGAGAAAATAGAGACATGCATAGCTTCAAGAGCCATTTTTTATAGCAAAAGTCGAAATAAAAAACTATTAATCTGTTTTAGTCGAAGACAAACCCTAAAATATTACGTCATATAATAGACAATGTAAATAATAGAATATGTAAACTTATCAGAATTTTTTCCGTGCTACTGTTTACATCATAACATTTACAAAAATTAAACATATTAGTGTTACGTTAAATTTGTGTTTGCCTACTGAATGGTTAATACTCAAGTCAAAACGGAAGATCAACCGAATCCGCTCATTGTCCTTCATCTATATGCATCTCTCGTTTGATTACTGAGATTATTATATAGCTGATAATGATTAAGATAATTACATATGCGAAAAAACATAGACATCTGGTTAATTAAGTCAATTTTTGATACTATTGAAAGGCATGCTAAAAACAGGTGTAAGTGACTCTGCATTGGATACAGTCAATAAACATGCAGTCAGGTGACTGAAACAAATCTGAAAGGACAAACCCACTTCACGCTGATTTTTCTTGCAAAAACTACAAACTGAATTTATTTAGTCCCAGGAGAAAGAAAGAGAGTAGAGTCTTTGAGAAGGTTACAATAGTGTTGTGTTACAAAAAAATGCTAAACTGACTTGTACTACTGTTCGAAAGACTCTTGTAAGTAATTTTAATTAGCTACTAAATAAATGTTGTTATTCTCGGTTGATTGAAATGAATTAGAAAATAACAGTCATTATTTAGGTCAGATATAGGCAAACATGACGTCATATCCTGCTTCGAAAGGGAATGCAAAATATACAAGGTCAAAGAAATGCAGAATTTGGTCCCCAAAATTTAGTGATTACTGTTAAAGGAGTCCAGAATTGGAGAAGAATTAGCCCGTAATAGTATCAAACGAAGATTTTATTACTAGGTTAGCACGTCTGAATAATTATACACATTCAGTGAAACTTTGGTATAATCGCAGTGTTATGGTGCTTGAAATTATGATTCCCTATTTCAGATGTTGCTGAAAGAGAAAAATAAATGACCTTAACATATTGCTAATATTTGAAACTTTCACCAAATAAAATAAAGTTAAAGGTTATGACTACATGAATTTTAATAAGTTCATCAATAAAAACAGTGAGGGGGGGGGGGGCAGCGAAACGGCGTCCTTCATAAGTATAATTGTTGTGTATTTTATTTTATTCCATTTTCAAATAATTTAGGGAGCGTAGCCCTTCAGCAAATGCTCGTTTACAAGGGGCCCTCCATTTAATTTACAATAATTCAAATGAAAACAAAACTAATTCATAATATTACCTTAAAGATATACAAAATAAATGTACAATCTACATAAAAATGTTAAATAAGTTTTATTTATTTTTGGTTCAGAAGACCTGCAGGGAAGATGCCTGTTTAATTTCGACTGGAAGAGCATTCCATGCCTGTAGGCCTCTAAAAGAAGAGCATTTTGACAATTTTTGATGTTTAGTTAGTTAGTTGTAATCTGTACTGGTTTTGCGAAGAACCCGCAAATGACTTTCGGAATTATTATAAATAAGTCCCATAAATATTCTGGCGCTAGTCCATCATATATTCTAGCTAGGGCCTATTAGCATTGCTCAAATCTTGGATTGATTTAAGTTTAAAAATTGTTATCAGTGTTCTAGCATCAGCATCAAAGCGGCTATTAATTATACTGGCTGCTCGATTTTGAAGTTTGTACAAATAGTTCTTGCAGGTCGCACCACATTTTCCCCAAACTGAGCAACAGTATTTAAAGTGGAACTCAACAATACCAATATAAAGTGTCTTTTAGAGTGTCCTGCGTTAGAAGCAAATGTTTTGACAGGTTTTGAGAGGCCAATTTTTGTTGATAGAGACTGATGTGACCTTTTCAGTCAAGGTTGTTTTCTAATTGTATTCCATGATATCTGGCAGTTTTGACACTACTCTAAGGTCCTTAATAGAAGGGGGGCGCTTATTATTTTTTCGATTTTTTTCTGACCCCACCGGAGCTTATTTAGACCCTCCAGTTTATTAATTTTTATATGCAGTCATTCATATTCCTTATTTCATTTGTCCTTTGTTCTTTCAGATGTGAAATTTCTGTAAAGTTTCTCTTAAATGAAGAGGTTGCATTGTACAAATGTTTTAACATAGAAAAGTAGTATAACATCTGGAAAAATTTACATAGGCCTGACTGATGTACACAATAATAATTAGCCTGCTCATTTTAGTAATGCAACAATTCATTATTACATGGCGATAATTGTCATGACCCCAACAATAATTATCACGTGATTTTTCAGATTTTCACATTTCCGACCCCCCCCCACTTACTAAGACCCCCCCCGCTTATTTATTCTTTGAAAAATTTCTGACCCCCCCCCACTATTAAGGACCTTAGAGTATCTATTCGTTCTTCCTGTAAAGATAATGCTTCATTATTATTAGCTAGCTGCTTTTGCTTTTGTTTTGTTGAGATAGTCATTGCCTTTATTTTAGCATTACAACATTTAGTGACAATTTATCAGCCTTCAACCATTCAAAGATTTTAGTAAGGAGAGACTAGTATGATAATTGCTACCGTGGAGATGGCCCTAAACATGACCCTAGAACTACTCCAATATCGATGTCCATTAGTTCAGATACAAATCCATTTATACTACAGTACTGTTGGCGTTTTGAAAGGTAAGACTTGAACCATGATAACTCCTTTTCTTGGAAACCATAGTGCTCTAATTTTTGACATAGAATATTATTTTTGACATAGCATTTAAGAAAGTTTTACAAAAATTTTGACCCCTGCGTTCATTCACAACACATTTCAGACCCCATCTAATTTTGCCTAAATCTTCTGGAATGAGTAAACCCCGAAAAGGAGCTGCCTTTTCGAAAAGGAGCTGCCTTTTCGAAAAGGAGCTGCCTTTTCGAAAAGGAGCTGCCTTTTCGAAAAGGAGCTGCCTTTTCGAAAAGGAGCTGCCTTTTCGAAACCGAGGTTCCGGAGCGAAACCGTATCAGATTCATGTATTCACACGAGATCAAAAGTTATCCGATATGATTCCAATCCACTTCCACAGCGGAATGGTTTGACTCCGCAAAAACGATACGGAGCGTATCGGATTCAAGCGTCATCGTGTGAACAGAAGGCCTATTCGATATGAAAGGTGATCCGTGACCAGATCTTAATATTGTTATCGGACTGGGTCAGTGAATCGATATGAAATGAATCCGGTATCGCGTGAACAGGGCCTCAGTTTAAAGCTTTTGTTTTGAATGACCGAATCGAAGAGACTGATTTCTTTTCCGATGCGTTGGCTTCACAAAACGCAAATGACTTTTGGCCATACCGTATTTCCTCTAATAAACGCCGCTCTTTGATATATGTCGCTCTCTTTCGAAAAGCGCCGTTCATTACAAAACAGCCCTAACAAGAAATAACGAATACATTAAGTACCGAAAAATTCGGTGCCAAAAATTTCGGTAGATTAATTTTCGTAGGAAAAACTACGATCATATCTGGAACGCAATCATGAAAGACACAAATAATCGAATATATTGAAGTCAGTCAAATAAATGAAACTGATTTGTAGGCAAGAATGTCATAAATTCTTATTTAGAGGACGTCCTTTTTATTTCATTTCCAACCCATGGAGGAAGTTAATTGGAAGCTTTTACAGTTCGCCATATTTTCGATCGCCAATAGCAACGAGGGGAATAGAAATTCTAATCGATCGTGAGTTAAAAATTGAGGCGTCCATAAAAGCACTGGAACGTTAGTAAGAAATAACTGAGAGAAATCATAAAGCGTCAAATGCCAATCAGTTCAGCCCACAGAGAACTCAAATTTCGTGAATGTGGAGAGCGAAAGAGAAGCAAGTGAAGATGAGCTGGATATCTTATTTGTTGATAACAAATGAGAACCAGAAAAATTGTTTTTGTTATTTTGAAAGTCAATCGGTGGAAAACGAAATTTTCCTAGCGTTTGAAAATTTCAGTAAGAAAAAAATTTCGGTTTCAAAAAAAATTGGTAGGATTAATTTTCGGTTGTCCTCCTTCACGGAAAATAAATCCCACCGAAATTTCTGGTGATGTAAAGGATTGCCAAAACAGCCGATACAAAGACTTACAAGTTTCCATTTCAAAATTTCCACCCATTCTTCTTTTTCTGATGACGAACTTGCATAAATATGGTAAGTTCTGTTGGGCATCGTAATCCTGAAATAAATTATCATGTCTATAATTGCTAAGAGAGAACATCCCCTTATCATGTTTCCAAAACAATTGGCCATAATACAAAAGATTGGATTACTGTGTATATCAAAAGGAAGAGCTCTTAAACTGTCCAATTCTTCATACATGAATACATACATGCATACATACATATATGCATACATACATATAGTATATAAACATAGTACATATAGTATATCAACATCTCCTGAAGAGTGAGTTACTCACGAAACAGGCTTGTAGAGATAAACCATGTAGTTTTACTTTCTTCAATCTATGATGCATACATACATACATACATACTAACATACATACATACATACATACATACTAACATACATACATACATACATACATACATACATACATCGAACATGACTTTATGCATTTTGATCGCGACCCTTCTCTTGTGAATATATGAAAGACTGCCATTTTACTGCTGCAAGATCATGTTCATTTTCAACGTGTCTTGGTAACCTGTAGATAATTTTGGCTGCTCTGATATGCTGCTTCTCTGTTTTTGAGAGGTTAGTTTTGGAGCAGCTTCCCCATACAGATATACAGTAGGTGGCGGCTGGAATTATTGTTTTGTAATAAATGTCTTCTAATACCTGTGATGGTAAGTACTTTAATCTTTAGAGCATGCAGACTTTTGAGCTCATCGATTTTGCCACCTTATCGGAATGTACTTTCCAGCTCATTATATCGTCAATAGTGACTCCTAACACCTTTTCTGAAGTTGTAAAGTCTAGGTATTCTCCCCATTTGTACTGGTAAGAGTGGGCCAATGAATTTTTTGGTTGTTATCAACATTGCTTTGCTCTTCTTTGCATTCACTGTCAATTTGTTTTGAGAACACCAATTATTCATCTGGGACAAAGCTTCACGTAGCTTTTGTACGACTTCATCTACACTATCACCAACTTCAAAAGCAGTGGTATCGTCTGCATACATGTGAACTTCTGCCGATGAAATTGATGTTGGTAGGTCGTTGACGTAGATGGAGAATAATCTTGGACCCAACAATGATCCTTGAGGCACTCCGTACTTTATATTTCTCATTGACGATCCTTTGTTATTGATTTCTACGAATTGCTTTCTTCCATAGCTATAATTCTGAAACCAAGCTAGCAAATCGTCGCTGATTCTAATGTTTTTCATTTTTTCAAAAAGAATCTTGTGGTCTATTGAATCGAACGCTTTGCGAAGCCTATCAGTATGACTCTTATGATTTTACTCTGGTCTAAGAATTGCTTCCAGTGTTCTGTGAGGTACAAAAGGAAAGATTCGGTGGAAAGTCCCTTTTTGTACGCCCATTGATTCTGATGTATGGTATCTTCAAGATGTTTGTCAAGTGATATATACGCAACTGATTCTATCAGTTTACTGGGAATGCTTAACATTGTCAGAGGTCGCTTGTTTTCTCTTTCTGTCCTATCTCCATTTTTGTGAGTTGTTTTTACTTTTCCAATCTTCCAGATGCTTGGGTATTTTGTTTGCGCAAAACTTAGATTGCTCAACATAAAGAGCCCAAAACTGAGTTCACTTCCTATAAATTTCATTTCTCTGGTTGTAATTTCATCATGTCCATAGGCTTTGACGGCCATCAAAATTTATAGACTAAATTTTTTAAACGGTTTCAATTTCACCAGTTCCTTGCGGTTGACTGTTATTTCCTTGGAAAACTTTAGCCAGCTCTTCTCCTATCGTTGAGAAATATTTATTCATGGCCCCTGACTTTTCAGTATCATCATAAACCAGCTCTTGCTCATCGTTTTTAATTGGGCCAATCCTTTTCTGTTTCTGATCCTTGAAAGTTATCTGTTTGATAATTTTCCAGAAGTTACTTCCCTGTTTATCACAATCCTCTAGTAGGTTTTTCCAATGTTTTCCTCAGCTTTACTTAATTCTTTATTTACATTGTTTCTTAGATGTTTGTATCTGTCCTTGTCTGTTTTGTCTTTAGTGTGCCTGTACTCTTTTAACTGCAATTAGCGTTGGTTCATCAACATTCTGATCTTTGAGTCAATCCATGGTAGTGAATTCTTTCTGATCTTTGCTTTTCTCTTGGGAAGGCTGCTCTCGGCAATGTTTCTGTAAATTGACTCGATCATCCAATAATTATCATCAATATCATCAAATATTATTTATTTATTATTTATTTCTTGTTTGTTTAAGCAAGCAGGACAAGTCCATTTGAAATTTACTTGCTTTTGATATTCTAGGTATCCTCTGCTACTTATGTCACCGCATTTGATATGACACCTTTGTATGCAACCATTACATATTAATCTTCGATGATTTTCAGCTACCGCTCTGCTACAAACGCTGCATGGATTCTTCGTTGGGCCTGGGTTTAATTCTATGTGTCCAGCCAAGATGAGTTTTGAGTCAAATACAAGCTGAAAGGTTTGGGATCCTTTCCCTGCGTAATAAGCTATCCGTGTACGATGATATTCGGACTTTGATCTTGACTTAGGCCCAAGACCTTTTTGATGTTGAACGAGGTCAAAATGTTCTTGAGCTGATCAGCCAATACTTCCATAACTGCTTGCTGGCATCCAAGGAAGCTTTGATGGTGTTATGAGTTTGGAATGAAGCAGTTATCAGCATCAAACAAAGTGTTAGTGAGCCACTGCCTGTGTTGCGACCGATCGTCATTTCAATTCTGCCTGTGTTTCAGAGCAATGGAAATTCGACAATGACAGTGGTGCTACTCCTCCCTGTCATTCCTACTACAATGCTTTACAAAATGACTAGGCAAGTTTGAATAATTTTAACTTTGGAAGTACAGAAGTCCGACAACATTTTTTAGATTAATTTGTAGGTAATTAAAGGGCTTTATCATATAGTATTAATTGCTTTTATGACTTGTGAGGTAGGCTTGGGACATGCTGTTGTTCTGTTCCTAATGACAAAGAGAAGTGATCTTTGTGGGTGCCATTTGTGGGAAAACTATTTCATATATAGCTCATTCTTGAATTGATGTACACGTACAATGGACCGAGCAGTACGTGAGAATGAACTGCAAATAACATGAAATATTCGGAACTTGATTCTAATAACCTTTTAAAAAACTAGCCATTGTTCTAGGTATTGGGTAAGTTGAAACTCTAAAACACCATCGGATTAAGCATTCCACAATGATGTCAAAACGAGACAAGAAAACCTCACGTCCAAGATAGTATCACAAAAGATTCTAATCTTGAAAACGAGAATTGTCATATCACTATATCGATCAAAATTAAGTGTCACGAAGAGCATGAAAACTAACATCAATAGACCAGTATCCTAATTTTTTTGAAGGCATTGGCCAAATCGAAAAACGAATACGACCTAAAATCATGATGTTACATAAACCCGAAAGATGGCAATAGCAAATCGACATTATATGCTATAAAGTCGAAAACATTTTCTTTAGATCCTTTAAATACTCATCCCATGTTAATTTCAACAAGCAGAGACACCATTTTCAAGAATCAAAAAGAAGACTTGAACAAACAAAACAGAAACAATTTGCTCGAAATAGTTAAATAGACAAACAACTGAAAATCGGTGGCCTCTTTGGATTGGAAAGAGGAAGTCAATGTAGTTTCTACCAAGGTCTTTTCAGGGCAGTCGGTTTTTTAAAACAGAATGAAACTTTGCAAACTCTATACACAAGTCATGTTGAGCCCTGCTTTGGGTACTGTGGCATAAAGATAAACTGTTTGCATTAAGTGTTTACAGTGCTATTTAATAGCAAGTGTTGTTGAGTTTTGATACTTATTTTAATATTCTTCACAGACCCTAGACCAGAAGGGAGCTAAGCCCCCCCCCTCTAAGTGGAGTTAGAGAAGAATAATATTGTTGGGTTTATTCACTATGTTACAGTTTGTGGCTTTAGCGCCCCCTCCCCAGTATATCTCCCTTGGCCTCAGGCTTGGTTCTTCACTCACTCAGGTAGTAAGTTTCATGGTAGTGCTGTCTAAACGACTTTCATTTTCTTCCTGTCCATGGTCATGGTACACTAAGTTTCAAGTTATCTCTCATATTCCATAGGTCCACATTTCCAAATTTTGCCAATGTGTGTTTCCATAATATACTTTGCTTTGCTTTTATATTTGTTTCAAGGACATCCGTAGTCAGAGTTATTCATTCTTTCAGCATCTTAATTCTACTGTTCATATGTATATTTTTCATAACAGTTTAACTTGTCATGATCTGACACTGTGAAATTTTATCTTGATTGGTCTCCAAGGCCTGATAAAGGGCTTTTTGCTTGTAATAAATGAATCTGAAGATTCAGGTGAGGCACAACTGGGAGCATTCAGATGATGCATAAAAACATAGAATTATCCAGTGCTAAGACTACTTGGTGACATCATAGACTATCTATTTTGGGAAAGACTTCCAGTTCCAAGCTCTGTAATATCATTGCCTATATTACAGCAAATGTGAATTCTTATGAGCACAAGTAAAAAAGAGAACATTGATAATTCAATCGCATAAATTGATGTTAAAGTCCTAAAACAAGACTTTCTTGGTCACCAGTGACAATCTAATGGAAAAAATCGTTAAATGATTGGCATTGTGGAACTTTTCTAAAGGCAGAGGCAAAACATTGGCAACAGAAATCCTGAGGAATTGGATTAGAAAAAGGTAAATGAAGTGCCTATGAATAAAACGAACTCACTCACTGAAAACAGTTCGCTTTTCCTGAACTAGAATCTTCTTTGATTCCTTCGCATTTTGATAAGTCTAATGTGCGTATAGGAGTCTCATCCTGAAAAAGATCAAACATATAATGAAGTTTTATATCTGGAATTCTTCAAAGAAACAATATATAGCATTGAGGAATTGTTTTACATTCTTGACAGTATCACAAGGACATGCAAAAAGTAAACTCGAAAGAAGCCAGAATCAGGTATTAGTCAGAATGGTGTGCCACTTTTTCGGATACCACCAAATGAGAATAAACTCTGCACAAGGCAAGATTCTTATTTTGTTCTATATTTTTCAAACTAAAGCAGAACAACTCACCCCTTTTGTTCTATAGTATCGCAACTCATTTTTTACTAAGACAAACCACCTTGCTTTCCAGTTCTGAAAAAGTATTAAATATTCAAAGATCTGGAACAAGGATCATGAAGAAATTCATATAAAAAAAATTCGAAACTAAAAAATCAAGTTTTTGCTCTACCTATACTGTCTAGAAAATACAAAGCCATATGCTTACAAATCCTCAAATACACAGGGTGCAATGAAAACCCCTAAGGAGGGAACAATACACTTTATTGAGGAATGGTAATTTCATCCAAGAAAAAAGTTAAATGTTCTGCCAAAAAAGATGCTTCCCCTTCACATCAATTTGCTATGATAACAAAATTACTGACCTTTACTCTTCCTCCAAGTTTTGTTAAATATCCTTCCTTTGAATTGATCTGTGAGAGTTAATAGAAGTTTTAAATAAACGTTATCATGATAAGCGACATTCAATTGTGTCTTTTCTGAGAAGCATAACAAAAAGGATTTCTTCATTTTTTAAATTGCTAAACATTCAAAGGTTCTTTCTCTCCATTTCCTCAGACTTTTTATTTAGTAACTGAATATGCATCATACATAATACATATATTTGTTTTGAAACCGTTTGTACGAAAACTTTTTTCTAACTTGCATATATTTTATAAAAACTGCCTGCTTGACACAAATAAGTAGACAATTCACTGCCCACCTAAAAATTTGTTATGATCAGGTCTGTTTTAGACTTTGATTTCTGCTTGGCAAGCTGTAGCCCTTTCTTCAGACTGCCAATTATTTATTTGGAAGCTTAACTAATCCACTTACTGAAAGATCTGTTCTGCCTGCATTGCTGCCTGAGCTAGGCCTATTTCCCCATTCAGCATGAACCCTTATTGTTTCATATTGAACTGGCTCTTGGACATCTCTTGGATAAGGATGCTTCAGTAGGGTGAGCACACCTACAAAAATAGTGATGAAAGGTGAAGAAATGATTTGGGTATGGATATTTATAAACTAATAGCTTTATTTACATTTGAATAGATAATATATATTTATAAACATTAACACATACAGCTTAATAATATACAATGTACACTTAGTGAGCATTGCACCACCCACCACAAAATGGCAGCACTCTTACCAAATTTTTTTGCTAACAAAAATTCAAATAGTTATATAAAAGTTGTAGAAGAATTTTCAGCAGAAATAACGGGAAATTTATCAAGATATATCAATAAAAGTATGAAATGCAAGAACATTCTTGATATTATTATACTTTACAACAAAATCAACCAATGAGCTATGACGATAAGATTTTTAGCTACCCTATTACCCTGTTATAGGCGCACCTCAGTTAAAGACACATGCGCTTATATCAGCATTTAAAGGCACAGTGTGCTTATAAGAGGAACATAACCTTAACAGTTTTTGCAAGAAAGATGAAAAAACATAAGAAAGCGATATGGCTATGTCCTTTATCTTTGACAATGTTTAATTCTTCCTCAATTACATTTCTTGCACTATCTATTTTTTAAATTGTCCTTTAGGTAAAAATTTATATGATAACTGCAATATTGACGAAAAATAGCTAAATGAAAAATTAATGATCATTGAAAAAATTCAGGTCCTGAGGAAGTTGACATTGAATAAATGTTAAAATATCCAGTTTCTATTGTTAAACATTACTCATGCAATTTTACTGTTAAAAACCTTTTTTCATTTATAGGCGCATGGGCCTGTATCTCAATTTTTTTCATACCCTGAAAATGGCAATAATCATGTATTTCTGTTGGGTATATGTAACTATACAAAATCGTGTACTAGGATATATATAATGTATTTGCAATAGTCTTTGCACAAGTTTGAATTGATTGAGATGATCATAGAGATACTTAACTTTTACTAGGGTGCTGAAAACTGTTAATTTTTGTGACTGTTATCATAATAATAATAATAATAATAATAATAATAATAATAATAATAATAATAATAAGAGGAATTTTTTATACAGGGTAAAATTTTTTATAACAGGGATGTCCTGGGGCCTAGAAAAGTGTGCTTCTTTGCATGTAGTTAGAGGGAAAGTATCAAAGAGTGAAGATTTACCAATAGGAGCAAAGGATTCCATCTCAGTTATGGAATCTAGCGACAAGTACAAATTCCTTGGAAAGTATGAAAATTTCGAACAGCTGGACAAGTTCACGTTCCAACAAGCAGAAAAAGAGTATCTACGAAGATTGAATGTTATATGGTCATCACCCTTGTCAGTACCAAGAAAACAGACAGCTTGCATCGTCTTTGCTTTGCCTACATTAGAATACTTCATGGGGACAAGTAATTGGTTGATAGCAGATATTCAAAATCTTGACAGGAAAAGCAGAAAGGTAGTCGAGATGCATAAAGGAAAACACATCTCAGAATCAATAGCAATGCTCTATTTGCCACAGAAATGTGGTGGAAGGGGCTTCAAGTCTGTAGAGGATACCTATAAGATCTCAAAAATTAAGGTTGCACATCACATTAACATAAGCAAAGATCCAAGAATAAAGCTGGTACGCTCATTCCAACATTACAAAAGCAAAAAGAACTTCAAGTCAGCTTTTGTTGAAGCAACAAGGTATGCAAAGGAACATTTCAAAGCTGACTTGAGCCTTTTAGAGGAAAAGTCTGTATTAAGCTATGAACAGGAAAGAGTGGAGTTAAAAGATGACAACTATATACAGATCCAACGCAGACTAGGAAGTATCATTCAAAGACTATATGAAGAAAGAGTTAGAAACCAACCTTGGTTAGGATTCTACACGGTTTCAATACTAGATAGTGATGAAATATCAAAAAACAGTAGAAACATTTTTCGAAGCTGGAAAAACATCCCAGATATAGTCTTATCGACAAATGAATCAATAAAGCAACAGTTACTACCTACCAAACCGTATTCAAAGTACAAGTTAAAGATGGAAACTGCAAATACAACATGCAGTCTATGTAAGCAAGCAGAAGAAACAGTTGTTCATTTGCTGTGCTCCTGTGCAGCATTAGCACAAACACTCTACAAGGCACGACACGATAGAATGTTAAGACCTATTTATCATCTAATACGAGCAAAGTTTGAATTTGATGGAAATAATCGTGGAGTTCCATGGTACAAGCAAGCATTACCTCTTGCAAGCATCGAAAATGATCGTGCTAAGATTATGTGGGACATACCGATGCACTTAGACAAAAGACCAAGCAACAATGCCATTAAGCCTGATATGCTGATAATTGACAAAGTAGGAAAAAAGGTCAGTTTGATAGAGGGGACTATATGTGCACCTGGATGTATTGCCAAGAGAGAGAAAGAAAAACAAGACAAGTATTCTGAAATGAGAAAGTCACTGGAACGGTTAAATCGTGGATACGAAATAGATCAAATCAATGTTGTATTTGACTTTCTAGGCTGTTACAGCAAGCAATTGGAGTGTCATATCAAGAGACTATGTGAAGGAGAGAAGGAGGCAAAATTAGTAATCGAACAATGTCAAAAATGGGTACTCAGCCAAAACTGCGAGATTGTTAAAACTTTTTATGAAAGAAAATAGAACAACAAAAATAGTCTGCCTAGGCATTAGCCAGCAGTATAGTGGACACAACAAAAAGCAACAGAAACAATTTTGACAATAAAAAAAGAGGAATTTTTTATACAGGGTAAAATCTTGTCAATACTACGAGTATTGTTATCAATAAGGGCCCTGTCTGAAAGAAAAATGTAACACATCAAAAATACATAATACAAAGTAAAAGCCTTAAAATGTATTTTAATAATTCTTCTTAAAAAACCCTAAAAAATCATAGTTATGAAAAAACGACTATAATCCTTTCAAATGTTCTTTAAGTCTATGCTTTAAAACAACAATTGAATCTAAACTTTGAATGTCGATTGGTAGCTCGTTAAAAAAAATGGGCCTTGGAACCAGAAGGACTTTTTGCAGCTTCTGTTCTGACCCTTGGAATGTGTAATGTAGATTTATTGCTTCATGTACCATAATTGTGGTTAACTCTTTTACCATAGAACGCAAAATTTGGAATGTTAGTTCCTTGCAAAAACTTGAACATTAGAAGATCTGCTTTAAACTTTTTCTATTTTAATATCATCATGTAACTATGTTCTTGATTATAGTCTGGACGATGATGAATAATTCTAATGGCTATTTTTTGAAAGTTTTCAAATTTGTTGCCCATTGTGTCAGAGATCTTTATGGTGGTCAAGGAATTTCTTAAAAATCTTGGTCATATGCTTTTTGAACTGCAACCTGCCTTATTTTGGAGGCAGATTCATAACATGTTGTAACAGTAATCCATCAATAGAACCTGTCACTAGTCTCTAGATCCATCCTTTGCAATGTTGTTTAGAGGACACATAATGCTGTAAATTGCTCAAGAACAACTCATTAGCCTTGATGAAAGAACCATAATGTGTGACATGCAAGCCTCAATGGCGTTGACAGGTTCTCGTCAAACAGATGTAAAGATTTCACTTTCCTTAAAATTTAAGGCAAGTAATAATCATCTGGGATCTCAGAAACCTAAATTTAATCTTTGGGAATGTTTTCAAATTCTTCATGCAATATTTAAAATAAGTTGCTGCAAAATATTTACAAAAGTTTCAAAGCTTTGAGATGTTCTATAATACATTTACATTTTTAGCACATTAAATTGATGCTTTTCTCAAAATTTAAATTTGAAGTGTTGCGAATGTTTTGAAGTTATACTTTAATCTTTAAACTTTTATCTGCCACCAAATGGCTTCACAAAGTGGCGCTATACTTCTGCAGACCTATTGCATTAATATCTATCAAGCAAACTGCTAACAAATTCTTTTCAGACAAAAATTTGAAAAAAGGTTTTTCACCTGATTCACCACCAATCAAAGGCTTGTTCTCAAAATGTTCCACAAAATCCTTCAAACTTGAAAATCTCCCCATTCCAAATGTAAAGTGGCTGCCATCCCACCCAATTTGGAAATGTTTTGCTGAGTTAGCACATCTCACTGATAATGAATATTCTCCTTTGTTTGTTGTGCTTTGTCTTAACAAGTAACTCCCATCTTGCCCATTTTGTATCAAAAGGGCCTCAGCATGATGACGGTTTAAATTTGGATGAAACCAGCTGAAAGAAATTGAATATGTGACAAAGTTGTTATTTATGATATATACGGTTGAGAAACAACAAACTGAACTTTAAAGGAAAGAAAAATGTGTCTGACTTATCAAGGTCTACACCTTAAAGTTAAATTTTGCTTCCTAATGCTGCCAAAGTGGGCATAACATGGTATAAAACTCAAAAAGAGTAGCGATGGAAAATTTACAAAGCTCGCATTATTCTAAAAGATGTAATTGCACATTAAGAATGGAAAAGTAAGCAATAATTCTGGGTGACTTGACCTTGCTGATGTTATTCTACTTAAGCAGACTTATTTGTGGAAGGGGGTTATAAATTTGATCAAATAATTTAGTTATTTCACATATCTAGGTTATGTCTGTATATAAAGCAGTTAAGTTCCATTTAAAGCACACTGTGCCTTTAATTGCAGACATAAGCACACATGCCTTTAAATGAGGTGCACCGATAGTTGTGGGTTATGTCTGTACATAAAGCAAATAACAAAACCCAAGGAAACCAGAAAACAGTCAATATAGCAGGAGTTTGACTTATTGTAGACTTCTTATCAAGTTTGAAATGTGTTTACGTTACTTTTTCATTTCTACACTTGATTATCAGGGATACATTAAGAGCCATTGGCACTTGAACACTTGAACAGAAGGTCCTTTGAGGCAAATTTAGTTTGTTTTTAATATCTTCAAAGAATATGCTGCTTGGCCATATTTTAGTTGGTAAAAAACTTGACTCAGAACCTGGAAATTCAGAGTTCAATTGAGACTGTTCTCAGTGCCCTCTACATCTGTGCCATTAAGAAGTTAGTCAGGATGAGCAACCAACTTTCAATGCTCAACAACAAAACTCAAAAGGCATATGCTTAGGTGGATGTGATATGTGATATACCCCTACGTTTGTTCATGATTAGCTTCATTTTAAATTTCTCGCTTTTTTAGACCTTTTTAGGTAATTAGATTCTTTTTTGTAACACAATGTTTTTTGGCCTGTTAATGTTACAACTAAAAGGCCATCTTGGGTAGAATTGAAATTGAACGAAAAAAGCATGAAAATTTAAGTTGAACATTGAAATCATTAGAAGAGCAGTTCAAACTCTCGGAAAGACATTACCTTAACTGTTCCACCTCCTTGCACTGAGGGATGTTCATTCTTGTCCACAACCTTCCTTCTCCAAGAAACTTGCTTCTGACACTGCTGCCTCTAGGCCAACCCGCGCGTTCTGAAATGAGTCTTCAACATTCGATTGTCTGAAGACTAAAGTAATTTTAAAGTATGACGACGAATACTTTTTCGAAAATAAAGTCTTTTATTGAACAATAATCATCTTCTGTTGCACCCTTCGTTTATTTTTGTAATTTCCGGTTCTACTTTCCTCTTCCTTATCCGCTACAAATTATGACACGCCTGTACCAGAGAATAGAAAGCTTTATTAAATGAAATTTAATCACGTTTAATATGTGACAGGGTACGCCTTTTGTTTTTTGGGCACAGGTTGCACAACTGTGGAGTTTGTGTTTATTGTAGCATAGCAGTGCTCGAGTAAGCTTTCTTTACATTGTGTCTTTTATACGGCTATAGCACAGGGGCGAAAATACCGGGGGGTGTGGGGGGGGGGTGTGACACCCCCCCCAATCTAAAAAATAATCGATTTCGCAGGGCAATCGAAGATTTCGCAGGGCTACAAGAAGAGCTTTGTTGCCACGCAGAAATGTCACCTCTGAAGTTCATAAAGAGCTGTTTAGGAATTTTGAAATGGAAATATCATATTTGTTATGAATCTACCTTCCTGACACTGCATGTTAGAGAACGGAACAGGTATGTAAGGAAAAGCTCCGTTATTTGCAAAGCGAAAGCATGTCTTACCGAAAGTCATAGCCAATGGATGCAATGATTGATGCATATGTTTATGAGGGCAAGGTTGAGTCCACACAAGTTAATTTAAGTTGTAAATTATTTTCATAACAGGCACGGCGTCACTGGGGGGAATAGGGGCTGAAGGCCCCCACTTTGGTCAAGATAAGAATTTTCTATCATTTCTATCATTTTTCTATTACTTTTTAACAGTGCATGAAATAAAAAGAGAATAAACTGTTAAGATGCGAATTTGGTTGATCTAATTACTAACTTTTTTACGTATATTTTTATTATTTTCCTTTTATTTGCATTAATTCAGTAAATCACTTTCTGTATCATTGCAATGTTTAATTTTTGGATGTGTAAACATGGCCTTCTCGAGACAAGAAACTGCACATTTCTGTTCAGGAAATAAAATTATCCAAATCAAAACAACATCTGCCTCTGTCATTCACAACTATGTGCAATCTTAAACGAAAGGTTACCGTTTCTTTCCTTCCCCAACGTCTATCACTAGAGTTTTAGCATGACATGCCCCTCCCTATTTTTCCCAATAAACAATAATCAGTTTTTTAGCACAATTGTCTGAAAGATGCTTTTTAGCCCCTATTACAAGGAATAATTTCCAAAAATTTCTTCACGTCGGACCCAACCGTGGTGGGTCCTCCTATATCACTAAACTCGATTCTTAGTCCCCCCCCCCCCGGGCTAAATTTCGTCGCACCGTCTACATCATGTACCTACACACACCTTATGTCATGAAATACAAGCTTTAGTACCAATGAAAATCAAATTTGACATTTAATTTACACTCACGTAGAGAAATAGATATTTCATAGGCAATGAAGTTTCAAGTTTGTTTTTATTGCTTAGAAGTTTGTCCTTGGTAAAGACCAGTGTACACTGATGAAGCTTTCACTAGTAACCTATAGACAAACCTTTGCTACGAGGTCTGCAGGGCATCACTCAGTTTTGCAGGGCAGAAACCCTTTTCACCCCCCCAAACCTACTGGCCAAGTTACGCCCCTGCTATAGCAACAAGCGTGCAAGTGTGCATTGGCCTCGGGTATATAAACTTTGTCTTAGCACAGTTTCATTCTCACACGTTGCACGACAACTCGAAGTTGGACTTTGGAGAGGAAAGGTTTTTCCTTTGCGACCCTGCCCACCCAACCCATGTCTAGATATCTTCAGGGGTTTTTCTTTACATGCATTTTGACTTTCTTTTTTTTTCTTCGTTCATTAGTTAATGGCCGTATTGCTTGCGACTTTTTGCATGAACAAGATGCTGCTTGTCGGCGGAAGAAGGCCATTGTTCCTCTTCTCAACCCCCTCAAAAACGGTTGGGGTTTTATTTATGGCCGTCTTTGCGATTGGCGCACCAACAGCCCAAAAATAAATGGTTCAAATGAAGAGAGAACACCACCTTCAGTCTTATGATTGACAATGGTAAAACATTCTGAGAATCATCTTACCCTTATATGCTAATAGTTTTTGTTTAGTAACCTGGAACAAATATTAAACGTCATTTATTCTGTGCCCATCGTGTTTTCACAAGTGAAATGCCGATCCAGAAAAAGCCAAAAGAATCCAGGAAACATCAATTCCCGGCATTCTCTGGTGCCTTTGAGGCCAAAATTGTTCAGAATCATAATATCGCTAAAAGTCTATTTTACAATGCATTTTTACAGTATTACTATATTTGTGGTACTGAGTCTGAAACACAATAGTCCAAGCATGTATTTCTCATTTTCAGGTCATTTGTCCTTGCTGTTACACATTTGTTTCTCTGAATAATCAATTTTTAATTAGGATTCTGACGTGGTGTTAGACCAGTGGCGTAGACAGAAGGGGGTCAGTGGAGCCAAAAGCCCTCCTGTAAAGCTAAACAGCTATCTTGTCGAAAATTTCTGATTTTGTCAAAAATGTAACATGGTTTTCTATTTTTATCCAAGTCTTACATTATGAGAATTCAGTTTTTAAAGGTTATTATGACGATTTCTTCAGTTGTTCTGGATCAGATGGGCAACTTAGAAATGCCTTTTGCGAAGAGGAGCCCATACAATTTTCGATTATTATAATCTATGGCACATAGCTTCATTAGACTTTATCTCCAGTCTATTTCAGTTCTAATGTCGTCATATGAATCTGTGTCACAACTATTTTGAATCTCTGTCAAATGCTCATCAATATTGTACACGGCAAGCCACAAAAATGACATTTTTATATACGAAAAAATGCTTTGCAATCTGGTTTCAGATCCCTGCGCTATTTTGGTGTTAAACTTTTGGAGCAATATTCCAGTAGATATAAAAATATCACTGTATGTTGTCAGTTTTGGTCAAAAGCTGAAAAACGTATTCAGCAAGAGCTATCAAATTTGATTCTGAAACGAAATTTATTGTTCTGTCATTCATGTAAATGATCAATTTCATTTAAAAACCCCTTAGAAAAGGAGTACTCTCTCCTCGATTAGTTCATCTACTGAGAGAGCTCCTTCTAAAGAATATCCCCTGCAAACAACATCTTACGTAATTGTGTTTTATTGCGTGTTATTATAAGTATTCTATGTAATGTGTGAACATTGTATGTAAGTTAGTTGTAAAGTAGTTGTAGCAAGATGTTGTATGTAGAGAAATTTTGAAATATAAAACTGAACTGAATTGAACTATGTTCAAATGTTTGAAAAAATTAAAAGTGTTTGTTAAATTTTTGTCGGAAAATCTCAGTTTTTCGCCCCTTCTAAGAAATTTCCTATCTACGCCACTGGTGTAATCCATGGTGCATAATCCATGGTTTTGATTTTCCATCGCTTTTTAAGTGGACGTATGTACATTTTAAAATTAGTATCGCAACTTTTTGAAACCGTTTTGCAATTATGTTTGGGTCAGTGCAGTTTCCAAGAACAACAGACAAATCAATGCTCGAAGGCATAGCCTGTCGGAAGAGAAATTAGCTCCAGGGGAAATTCCCCCCTAGTTAGTATATTACAAAGGCCCTGCTCCAGGCACCGCGGAGCAGGGGGCTTAGAGGGGGCTTTAGCACTTTTTGCAAAATGTGCCAGATATTAAGTAATAAACTACCAGTAAAGCCTCTTTTTATATGGTTTTAGTCCCCCCACTTTTTTTAGACCCTCACTTTTCTCGACGCTCCGCGGTGCCTGTGCTCGAAAGACCTATGTACTGGGGTTTATTCGTGCATACACAGGACCTGTTGCAAGTTAAAGACTTCATTTAAAAACAGACTGTGTAAAGTAAGAGAAATTCAAATAATATACGTAATTGACAGTGTCTTTATTTCTATTGAAGGTCGTTCCTTTTGCAAAATCAACTAGATTCAATGTTCAAAGATTAAACTTCAAATGACGCTTAAAAGTTGTTCAAATGACGCTTCAAATGAATCGCTTCAAGATAGATAGAAAGATAGATAGATCTATCTATCTATCTATCTATTTATCTATCTATCTATTTATCTATTTATCTATCTATCTATCTATCTATCTATCTATCTATCTATCTATCTATCTATCTATCTATCTATCTATCTATCTATCTATCTATCTATCTATCTATCTATCTATCTATCTATCTATCGATCTATCTATCTATCTATCTATCTATCTATCTATCTATCTATCTATCTATCTATCTATCTATCTATCTATCTATCTATCTATCTATCTATCTATCTATCTATCTATCTATCTATCTATCTAACTATCTATCTATCTATCTATCTATCTATCTATCTATCTATCTATCTATCTATCTATCTATCTATCTATCTATCTATCTATCTATCTATCTATCTATCTATCTATCTATCTATCTATCTATCTAATCTATCTATCTATCTATCTATCTATCTATCTATCTATCTATCTATCTATCTATCTATCTATCTATCTATCTATCTATCTATCTATCTATCTATCTATCTATCTATCTATCTATCTATCTATCTATCTATCTATCTATCTATCTATCTATCTATCTATCTATCTATCTATCTATCTATCTATCTATCTATCTATCTATCTATCTATCTATCTATCTATCTATCTATCTATCTATCTATCTATCTATCTATCTATCTATCTATCTATCTATCTATCTATCTCAATAATCAGTACAGCCCATACTTGGCATCGCACTGATGAGGTTCTGGCCATTAAACTTGCAAACAAGTTTCAAATAACTGAAAATGGAAAATGAAAACAGCTGTCAACTGGAGTGGGTATATGACTGACCCGGATATGTTTTTTGCGGGTTGAGTGATTAGTCCCTATGCGGCTAAACATTGACCTTACAAAATACTGAAAATAACAATAGATTAACGAGTCATTGAATTAACTTTGTCCCAGAAAAGTTACCACATGACACAACAAAGAAAGAAAGAAAAATTAATCTAATTTAAATGTCATCTCAATGCTAACTTAGATAAATTCAGAGTGATCTGGCTTTTAAGCTCTGGTGACAGCATGTTCCATTCAACGATTGTTTTTGCGTAAAAGGAAAATTTGTAGCAGTCTAAGCGTGGTTGTACAGGAATAAAGTTCTTTGAAATTGCTCCGCTACTCCTTGTAGCCTTTCTCTGTTCCATAATCTATGACGGAAGTTTCATATCAATCTCATTGTTAACAATTTTATAAAACATACCAAGATGCATATATTTCCTACGTGTCTCCAAGGTTGGCCAGCGTAAGTCCTCTAGCATTTTGGTAATTGTTCCTGTTTCTCTGCAGTGATTATTCTCCACAAATCTAGGTGCCTTTTTCTGCATTTTCTCGATTTTTTCTTTCTTGCCCTTTTGATATGGATCCCATGCACATGCTGAGTATTCTAAATGTGGATGGACTAGGGTAAAGTATGCTGCACATTTGGGCACATCCCAAGATTTCGCTTTAAGAACGCTAAGGATCTGCTGCCTTTATTGACTATTTTTGTGACATGTTGCTCCCATCTTAACTTACAGGCAACCTCAATTCCAAGATGAGCATGATGTGTTACTTCGTTCACCATCCAACTTATATTGGAACACTGGAATATTTCCCTTTGGTCGAGTTGACATGTGGTAGCATTTAGAAGCATTAAATGACATTTGCCATTTCTCTGGTTCATTATGCGATCTTTTCAATTCTCTGGAAAAATTCCTACAGATTGGAAAATAGCATGTGTTGCCTCAATTTACAAAAGCGGAGCGAGAGATGATTGTTCAAACTATAGACCGATCTCTGTGTTGCCTGTATTGCCTCGTGCATTCGAAAAAGTAGTATATAATCAACTGTATGACTACTTAGATAGTAATAGGCTCATACTGAAGCATCAGTCTGGTTATCGGTCTTTACACCCTGTCGTCACCAGCCTTATGGCTGGAACAAATGAATGGTGTTTGAATAGAGATAGGGGCAAGTACACTGGTTTGATTTTCATTGACCTAAAAAAGGCATTTGATACAGTAAATCATGATATCCTACTAAAGAAGCTAGAAAAATACGGAATAAGTAGACTAGAGCTTAATTGGTTGATTTCCTACTTGCAGGAAAGAAAGCAGTTCTGCAATGTAAATTTAACCTCCTCCAGGATAAACGACATAAGTTGTGGTGTCCCCCAGGGGTCCTGTCTTGGCCCACTTCTGTTCCTTATTTACATAAATGATCTATAATTCTGCCAAAACAAAGAAAAGATCACCATGCACGCTGATGATACTGCCATTTCACACTCCAGGAGATGCCTTTCTTAATTGCAGGATGATGTAAACCAGGATCTTGTGAATTTTCAGGACTGGCTACATGGAAAAAAATGGTCTCTAAACGTTGTAAAAACGCAGTCTTTGATTATTGGATCCAGACCAAATATTCAAAAGATCGAAAAGCAGACTAAAGCTAAGCCTAGTTTCAAAACAGGTGTACAAAAAATCAATATGCTAACCGGTACTACGTATCTGGGGGTTCAAATTGATGACAAACTCCAATGGGATCGACATATTGAACAAGTCAAGGCTAAGGCACTACGAGCTCTCGGTCTTATCGCATGCCAAGAAATTTCTTCTATCAGGTGTTTTGCAGAAAATGTATAGAGGAATTGTTGAGCCACATTTTAGCTATTGCTGCTCTGTTTGGGGTTATTGCAGTGAAACCAAACTCAATTCTCTCTAAAAAAATCCAGAATAGAGCTGCAAGAATAACTACAAATAGTCCTTATGATGCTCCTGCTGTCCCTCTTCTCAAAAATCTTGGCCGGTCCTCAATCAGAGATCATATCAAAGAAGAAACAGCAACGCTGAAGTATAAGGCATTGAACTCGCTTGCTCCACAGTATTTATGGGAACTTTTCAGTAAATGCCCAGAGGGCAGTGTTCGCAATCTTCGCTCTACTGAAGCAAACTTGCAGATACCTCTTTTAAGAACATGCTCAGGCCAAAAAGCATTTTCTTATCGCGGAGCAAAATTATGGGATGAGCTGAATAAGGAAACTGAATTGGCACCGTCCCTTGCTACTTTTAAAAAATCCATATGAGAGGTACATTTTATTTTTATAACTCGTTCTGTTATGCTATTTTGATTTTAATTTTTTGTGCATTGTAATTCTCTTCAATTTAGGCTTGTCTGTTTTTGCACAGGTCGATTTGTAAAATAGTAATTTTTTTATTACTCAAATCTGTAAACCTGTATAATTATTTAAAATATGAAATGAAATGAAGACTCTGCCCACTTTCCCAACAAACCTTTGTAGGTTTCAGACATAACTGATCATTCACTTCCTCGTATAGCAGGCAGTCGTCAGTTAATAGTCTTAGGTGGGGGTCTAAAAAATGGGGGGGGCTAAAACCTTATAAAAAAGGCTTTACTAGTAGTTGAGCACCTAATGTTTGGCATTTTTTGCAAAAAGCCACCCCCCTGCCCCGCGGTTCCTGGCTAGAAAAGCAAGAAAATTTTGATAGAACTTGATTTTCGCACCGAGGCTATGCTATACTTGATTTTGGCCACCCTGTTGTTTGCATGGAAGCTGATTACAGAGAGAGGGACAAAGGACGACAATGGTAATTATCCTTAAACAATATATATGATAAATTTACGTTGATATTATATGACACAGTATATCCCAGTTCTTACTTACTTTACATTTTAAGGAGACGCATGTATGTTAGTGCCAGCGAAAAACCTATATTATACTTATGACACACTCTATTCTGTGTTTCGGATCTGTGCAGCAATTGAAACATTATTATGGCCATGCTGCAAGTGCCCATATCAAGGGCCTAGTCAGCATGGTTTTTGTTCACATTACTCTGTTTAAGATTTGTACGCCGGGTGCGAAATATTAGCTTTAGATTTAATCAGAAAGTCTAGGAAAGTGCCGGGGGTGTGCAGAAAACCTTTTTTCCCTCCGACCCTGTCCCAAATTTGCTTTGAACATACCCTGTCCATATAAAGGATGCTCCCTGTTGGAATTAACTCACATTAGGGAATCGATTCCCAGTTCTGCTTGTTACAAGGCTGTTAACTTCTTCTACTTCTTCTACATTGATACTGAGCAGGACCGAGTATTGGTAAAATGCTCAGAGTGCAAGAAATAATAGATTGATGGATAAAAAGTGCTAGAAGATGCCACTGATCAATTATTAGATTGGACATTTAACTGTCAAATGAGAAGCTGTAATTTTGTTTGACTGCAAGACCAAATCAAAAAAGGGACTGAAAATTAAAGGGAACATTGAGAGGGCATTGTGGTAATGGATTGGTCAGTGGCATCTATGAATTAATGCAGGTGCAAATTAATGATAAAAGTTACATGTTAGAATATAATTTAAAAAATCTAAAATACAGTTAAAGGCAATCCTTGACCTGTCTCTGAACACTGTGCGTTCTTGGATTAACAATGTTTATGTTCTTCAGTTCAATTTCTTTCTGAAGCTTCCTCTTAAATGTCTCTTCTTTAAGTTGCCTGTATTTGATTGGTAATATGTTCCAACATCTGATAGTTCTTGGGAAAAATGAATACAAATATGTGTTGGTATTAGCGCCAATATTGATAAACTGCTGCTTACTTCTTCCTTGAAGCTGCATTGGTGCCATTATGTAGGATGGAATGTTAACATCAATATTATCATTTATTGTCTTATGGGCGAGACACAACCTTGCAACATAGCGCTTGAGCGCCTTTCTTGAAGGGTTGGCCATTTGAGTTCTTTTAACATATCAGAAACACTAGAGTGTCGATTATAATCTCTCCTTGCGAATCTAGCAGCTCTCCTTTGTATTGCCTCAATTCTCTTTATATGATTTGCTTGATGAGTCTGGTCTTACTATTGTAGCGTATGCTTTAATGAGTTGTTTCACTTGTTAGTGGGTTGTTTGACCTGTTACTGGGTTGTAACTGGGTTCTTCTGCTTGTTACTGGGTTTTTCTACTTTCTAAACAGTGTTTAATCAATAAAGAATTTTTTGCATTTTGGGCATAATCTTATTCTCTGCATGACATTACATTTTTTTCATATAAATTTCTTCTTTTATATTACAAATAAAAATAGCAGAAGTTTACCTTTTTTTAGGAACCTTTAACATAACCTTTCAGAATTGCTGGTTTTTCAAGCCCAGTGCCCCATTTATCCATGGTCTGTTGAAGTACTCATTTATATAATGTTATTGGTAAGAAAAACTGAATTTTTACAAATTTGTCCAGCATCTGTCCAATCTAGCTTGGCAGAGCATTAAACTTGTACTTTCTTGCAATGTTCTAAGGGCTGCACTAATATTTTTAGGGCGCCTGGGCCAAAGCATATAGGGCCCTCTTATCAACAAGTGTGAAGGTCTGTGCATTTTGTTTTTAGAAAAGTTAATTGCAAGGTTTAAACTTTGCCTCTGTAGCTACAGACAATTCAATTAATGAGACAAACAAATACATTTTTTGCTATAAACTAGATTTTTTGCTCAATTTTTTTATGATAGAGCAATTCCATGATAATGTGGACATTTTTTTGACACTGTAAGTATACGTTCTTTTTCGTAACAAAACATCAACTCGGTTTTCTAACAACCCAAGGCGGCACTGTGTTTGCTGCAGAAGGGTAAGAATATTTTTGAATATGAGTGATTCCAGAGTGCTGGAAAAAGCACTCTTTGAAGTAATTTTACCTATGCAACATAATTGGATGGGTTTCCTTCAGATTGGACAAAATCTCTCACATCAGAAGGGGCAAGGCTCATTAAAATAAATGTTGAAATTGTTTCTAGCAAACACCTCCTAGGGGAGGTACAGTAAACATGCTTCAGCTTCTTATGCTTCTTGAATGAACATTTTGAAATCTTTTTCAATGTTTTTGTCCACCATCGCATAGTTATCATACACTTTTTGCCTTCATCTTTTTTGCAGATAGGGCAATTTCATCCTCTCTAACTCCTGCAAACACAGTGCCTTTATCTGTTTTCTTATCACAAGGTGTTATTTTTTAGTAATTGAAGCATTGCATAAATTATCTCTTGTTTATATTGGTTTTTTGTAGCGGGTGAATGTGATTGTGAAAAACCTGCTCTTTAAATCCCATTTATAAAATAAGTGGTGATGTAAAAGTTTGTAAATTAAATAAAGTTTCAGGCAAAGACATTTGATAGTTTTACATTATTTGTTAGATGTATCAGATTGTGAAGAAAATCCCTCTCTTCTTTTATAATGTTAGATGCCATGTCAGTTCATATAAGTTGGAGTCATCCATATCAATTTTTAATGCTTGTACACGTTAAGGTTGTGCATTTGCACACTGATAAGAAACTCATGCAAGGGAGCCCTATGATGCCATACTAAAGCTCCAAAAAAGTCTTAGGGCCCCTAATTCTTTGTTGGCCCCTAGGTCTGGGTCTGGTGGGTCCAATGGGAAGTATGGCCTTAAATGTACTGTTCATATTTTCAGCTACCTAATTCAGCTACCTAAATGGTTTTGGATCCACAACTGGGTATATATATTTCCTAACGTAGATTTTTTGATCCATGTTATGACGTCTTAAACTCTGAAGAGTGTCAGACGAAAAGCTTTAGTTTACTCAAATGTTTGCTTTTTTTAAAGCCATTTTAAAGTTTTGTACCACCAAAAGATTGTTTGCATACTCCCTTAATCTGTTTTATACAATACCAAACTGTCTTAAGTAGAGATTTTTACATTCTCCCAATGAAAACATTTGCTGATTATGGAAAGCTACAGAAACAAAACAAATTTGGAAAGCAATCGGTAACTGAGAACCAAAAAACATTTTTGGAAAGCCACAAAAATCTTTGAAATGCCTTACCATCACAGGATGCAACTCTGGCAATCCTTTACTAATGCTCTTTTTGAATTAAACATTTTCTTCTAAAATTAAACCAATTTTCTGTATGAGGTGCAAAGTATTGTGCCTTAGAACTTTGTCAATTTTACTACCAGATATCCAAATAATTACCGTAAAACCTCTACCTATGGGGAAATAGCTAAACGTCTGATTGCTCATTCTGTTGAGAGCAGGAAACCTCAGTCCATACAGTCGCTTGCTGTAAAACAGAATTGATATAGAGTTTCTTCCAATAGGGCACAACTCTCCCTGCTCTTTCTTGCCAGCTCTCTACAAGCTATGAGGGGTCATCTCTTTAGGTTGATCTAAATACCATCTTCTCTCCTTCTGACATCACTGAAGATCCATTTCGACTTGACTTGCTATTGATTACAATTATGTCTCTTTACTTCTAAACTTGCTTTTTGTTTTGAAATCGATCTCAAAAATGAGGCAGAGAGAAGAGGCTTAAGTGTTGCATTAAATATCATACATGTCTGATACATCTTTGGCTAACACAGAACACATTGGACAGCCCCATGCTTTTATTTTTTATAAATTATACTTTTTTATCTTTGCTACACTCTATTATCTTTTAGTCTATTGTCATTATATGTTTTATTGTTATGTGTAACAATTATTAAAAAGCTATAACTGTCAAATTTACAAAAGAACTTCACTAATGAGCTTTGTAATTGTATTTCTTGAGAACTAAAAATTTTTAACCTCATTTTTTTTATGAACATATTTGAACCTCAGGCCCTGTGAAACTACTCCATTTACAAAAAGAAAGTTTAATCATGGTAATGATATGATATGTTCTCGCAGTCGAGCTTTGAGGATGATAGTAGTTATATGCTCTTAAACAATTCTATGAATTGCAACTCGCCTGAATTTGCAACCAAGAAACCCACACGTCTAGAGCATGACACAAAACGCCAATTTCCACATCATAGTTTCAATGCGAAACGCAAATCATATGCCACGAAAAAGGTCTTTGTATTTTAGATCTGATCATTGTATATGAGACAAGGTTATCAAAAATATGACGAAAAGAATTACCGTCCACGAAGGTTCCCAATAAAAGATTACCGGTATATGATAATATATAAAAATTCCAGCCTTTTCATAGTTTTTTATAAAAAACGCGCCGCTGTAAAAATACATTAGTGCCTCAGTTTTTTAAAAAAATATATTCTTGCATAAACAAATGTTATAAATGTTATTATTATTTTAGCAAATTTTCAATACTTGAAATTTTGTAGCCACTTTTTCAAGCAAATTTACTTTTTCAAGCTAATCCTGGTTTCCTAGAGTTCGTTTTTTCAAAGAAACAACAACCAGATTTACCTGATTGCTATTAAGTTGCCATTTGAACTCAAATGTTCTGATGTCTCTGCACTGCATTAAAAAAGAACGAGACAACTGAAACAGATAATTTCAGACCAATTAGCGTTTTACATCAAAAGAATTTGAGACTTGAGAGACTCTGCGAGAAACAGTTGATTGGATACGTAACAAATTATTTGTCACCGCTTCGCTGGTTACGGAAAGGGTTTCAGCAATCAGCAGTCTCTGACACGTCTTCTGGAAAAATGGAAAATTTGCCTCGATAGTGGCAGGAAAGTAGGAACTATTTTTAGCTCTATCGAAGGCATTCGATTGCTTGAGGCATGATCGGCTCAAAACCACTTTGGAAGCTTATGATCTTAGTCATGATGCTTCAACATTTATTTACGACTTTTTGTAATGGCAGATAACAAACAGTAAATGTCAACAGTTTTTTTGGCTCACAGGGTTCGGTCCTCGGGCCGATGTTTTTCAAAATATTTATCGATGACCTCTTTTGCAAATTGAGAAAACTGACATCGCATATACGCAGGTGATACCACGCTGTTTACTTGTGACAGGGATACAAGCAAGAGAATCTCCAGACAGGAAAATTATACTCGGCTCTGGCAAGCAAATGGTTCTGTGATGAATATTTGAAGCTCAATGAAAAATCCCATCTAATGACTTTGGGCACCATTCATACAGATACAATCTCAATCAATATTAGGGACACCACTGTACATGAAACTAATCAGGAAAAAATCTCTTAGTGTTAAAATCGATATCAGTGTCATATTTGAGGAATATGTTAAGCAAGCTGTGTCAAAAGTTGGCAATAAACCATACAATCTTTCGCACATCAGTCATTTCATGGACCAAAATAAACTAAAAGTATTAATGAGAGCCTTTATATATTGCCAATTAATACTGCCCATTAATGTAGATGTTTCATGGCAGAAAACTGAAAAGTACGATCAAGAAACTTCTTGAGCGTGCACCAAGAGTTAGATACAGAGACCACCTCTCAAGCTTTGAATCCCTGATAGAGAAAGATGCTTTCACAACTAACCATGTCAAAAACTTGGAGATGATGTTGACTGAAATGTTTAAAACTAAAAATTGTCTGGTGAGCCCCGCTATGGTCTTTGTTACTTAAGTGCTCTTTCATTTACAGGACAGTGAGCTCTCATATGCTCATTTTGAATGTTCTTTGATGGATCTGATTCTTGTGGAAGTCAAAGAAGACAAGCTTCCCGATGAAGGTACTAAATTATTCATCTTTCAGCAAACATTTATTTCATTCAAAACTTTGTACTTGGACCTTTTTGATATTGGTTTCAATCATATACTGCTTTTCAGACACCTGCAACCATATGCACTAGCTTCCAGAGTGTGAGGTCTCTTATGAATATTTTTTTCATACAGTTTACCTTTTGTATACTTTTCTTTTGGTACTCTTGAAAATCTTCTTGTACGTTCAGTGAAGGATATTATTGCCTCAGTAACAATTCTTTTCTCGTTTACATTCAAATCGGAGTTTCCATGCAATAGTTATTCGCACAAATCTTTTGAATCCATGTTCATAATGTCTAACCTAGGTAAAATTAGGGGGAGAGATCTGCGCGCATCAACTCCAACCGAGGTCAGTGCATGAGGAAATGTTCATTATCTTCATTTCCTGAACCGCATGTGCAAATGGGACTTTAGCAGTCAAAGCAGTGTCGAAACCTGTGCTTGTTGAGTGGGCTGAAAATTTAACCGCAACTTTGTTTGGTTCTTTGTACAATCGACTCCGCATATAGTCACACTAAATTTTTTCCAGAAAATTCTAACGATAAGCGGAGTGTGACATTAAGCGGAATTATCTAAAAATACTAAATGCCAGTGTCAGGAAATCAGTTTTTGTGGCCCAATATTAGCAAAGAAACTGTTTTCAACCATTTCAAAAATAATGTTGTCTAACCTCTTTGAAAGCGGCTTCAGTGCTAGCGAATGTCAAATACCAAAAGCAAGATTGTTTTTGTATTGTTTAAAGTACTATTTTGAAAGTTATCGAGAGGAATTTAATTTTTCTAAATTAAATTTTGAGAAGGATTAAAACAGAAAAATTAATTTGTGTTGCGTAAATGTGAATGTAGAAAGAGTTTTCTGCTTTTCAGGAAGAAAAAAGGTTGTGACTATAACAGAGTGTGAAAAAAGTGGAACTTCTGTAAGAGGAGTTTGCTTATAAAGGTTTGACCAGAGCTAAATTCGGGAATCAGCAATTTTGTGATAGTAACCGGAGTATGACTGCAATCGGATTGACTATATGTGGAGTCGATTGTACCTGTTATGTCAAAAACATTGTACACATGTGTAGATTTTTTGACTGGCCTGGTAACTTGCCTCAGAAACAGCCCTTGTGCTATTTTTAGAATGGGGTACTTGTGCCCAGGCCTGGGAATACGTTGTCACAGTAACTTCCTTGCTGTTAGCTATACAGCCACAAAACTTGGTACACCCAGGGCCGTCGAGAGGTAGCTCGGGCCCAGGGATGATCTGTGGCCACGCCCTTCAGTCTCCTGGAGAACAAGGGAAACTTCCTTTTTAGGTACAATTGTTGATTAATTTTTTTAAGAATTTTTACAAGAATGTGCAAGAAAAATTTTACATGAATCAAGGACATGTGGACATTTCTCTGCGACAAACTTATAGGCGTTGATTTCGTAAAAGTAGCTGAAATAGCAGTTTGCCTATAGCTCTTGTTACTATATTACGGACCCCATCGGAGCACGGGCGCCGAGCTTTTTGCCCCTCTTAGCCCATCTTTCGACGCCCCTGGGTACACTTACACAATTTGATAGCCCCAAGAATATCTCTTGTGTTATTTTAAAGGGGATGGCCCTCTTGCCATGTCCTCGTGTCAAGAAATACACCCACCCAATGAAATAACTCAGATATACACATATGTATCTTGCTGTTTCCTATTAATCTACATTACATTCTCAAGTCCAGCTGCAAAGCTCTGTGCACGACAGACCAGCTTGCATTGGCATTTTTCTGATGAGCATCTTCTTTGCACTAATAATAATAAAAGTAATAATAATAATAATGATGGAAACATTTCATTTTCAATTCAACTTAAACTACAATTACAAATCTCACTATTACAAGGTAATTTGCAATTGGCTAGCCTGGTTTTACAAGAAGAAACTATAACAATCGTAAGGTAAGAGGAAAAACTGAGAAAAAATAAAACAACCAACGTTAAAAAGGATGTAATTCCAGATGGCTTATTTTTGCAATAAATATGTAGTACGTAGTACGGATGGCAATGTTGGAAAGTTTAGAAATGAGATACGGTTTTGTTGCTGATTGATGGAGATTTAATCTACATGCATTGAAGGATATGTAAATATTACAATGTTGAGGTACCCTTTAGATGGTATGAGCATAAACCAAGCACTGTCGCTGAAGGGAAGGATGTTGTGATATTGTGGGATATGCCAATCCATACTAACAAGAAGATTACTGCAAACAGAGCTGACATCGTGATCAAAGACAGGAAGGAAAACAAATGCATTTTCATTGACATGTCTGTCCCATCTGAGCGAAATGTTGAAAGCAAAGAAACAGAAAAGTTATCAAAATAAAAAGAGCTTGAGATAGAAGTTACCAAAATGTGGCAAATTAAAACAACTGTTATTCCTGTCATAATCGGAGCCCTTGGACTCGTCACAAAACGTATGAATGAACATGTATCAAAGATTCCTGGAAAGATCACCATCAAAGAAATCTAAAAGATAGTCTTGCTAGGAACATCACATATCCTGAGAAGAGCTCTATCTCTAACTTGAAAAAGAGCTGAACTGTTAAGCCTTAGGACCATAGTTTTGTCTCGGCTTCTTAAGAGAACAATACATAAAAACAAACTGAAGATAACAATTATAATAACAATGGAAACTTTTCATTTTGAATTCCTGTTAAAACTACAATTACAAATCTCTCTATTACAAGGTAATTTGTAACTGGCTAGCCTGTGTTTACAAAATAAAAACTATTACATCGTAGTAATGAGAAAAGAAAAAAAGAATGTTAAAGGGGAGTAGCTCTGGATTAGTCTAAGTTTTGTTTCTACAGCAGAATATATAGTATGTGGTGCGAATGGAGATGCTTGTAAGTTTGGAGATGAGGTAGCGTTTCTGTTGATGATCAATGGACAAAGAGTCACACAAGTCGATGAATGAGCTGCAGGAGTCGCCAAAAATACCGAGTGAACTGATGGAAAGATTGACAAACGAGACTGACTTAAACTGACGTTTTAAGTCAGATACGAGGGTGGCATATTTCTCTAACTTTCTGACAGCATTGCAGTTGAGATTTGTTTCAAAGCCTATGGTTAGCTCTAAAAGGTACAGACAGTTTTCCTTAGTTTTGAGAAGTAAGTCAGGGCGTAGTTGATCTCCAGTTATGATAGAAGGGGAAAGAAAGCCTGGTAAATCTGCGTAGAGAGAAGACCCATTTATTGCTTGGAAGGAAGTGGCTAGAAAGTTTAATGCAGAATTATGACGCCAAGTATAGCGGCCTTGGTCAAGGTACACTTTGCATCCAGCAACAACGTGTAGAAGTGTTTCTGGAAGAAGACAGAATTCACAGTCAGATGTTTGACTAAGGTTCCATTTCAGCAGATTTTTACGAGTTGGAAAAGTGTTGTTAAGATACTTGATGGTAAAGTTAAAGATGTTACTAGGCAAATTGCTCTGTGTACTTGACCAAATACCGTTCAGCTTTTCCAGTGAATGTTTCAGTAGGAAGGTAATTGTAGCTCCCTGAGATGGTAAGTTTTGAGAGAGACGTTCTTTGTTGTCCGATTTGACAGCCTTTAATACCTCTTTAGTATTACGATAGATGTCGTACTGTAGGTTCGTGCCATGACTGGTGTTTTTCAGTAGGGTTTGAATGTTAATATTAGGAGAAGATTTTAGGGCATTGCGACAGACAGTTTGGCATTGCGTAAATTTGATAGAAGGCAGTTGTAGATTTAGGCCAAACTGATTTTTTGAGAGGATTATTCCACTCAATGTTGCAGAAACAGGAAGATCAAGCCACTGGCGAATGTAATTGGAAACAAGATTGTCTAGGTTTTGGACAACCCAGGTCTTTGGTAGATCTGCAACAGTAAAATGCCATGAAACTTTTGACAGAATATAACGATGGTATAATAGCAGTTTGTTTTTAGGATGGAGAGGTAAGTCGTCAATATCCTTCATAAGAGTAGAGAAAAGAGAAACGAGTTTAGATTTATGATCTTGGTTACTCATTTCAAAATCAAAGAAACGACCAAGATACTTAAAGGAATAGCCATTTTTGACAGCAGGCACTATTTGCTTACAGATGAAAAGTTTCGGTTGAAATTGGAGGGATCGCGTAGAGTGTTTCTTGACACCAAAGGTAACACATTTGTCAACCCTGACAATAAAGTTTGCCCATTGGCACTATCTGGTAAAGCAGTTAAATAAGAGTTGGTTCTCCTTTTCTCCACTGGTAACAACAGCAGCATCATCAGCAAACTGAAACCAGTGTACTGGCTGAAACATGCGGTCATTCCCATCATGGGGGGAGAAACCAAGCTGCTTATATTTATCTGATTTGATGTATTGTATGAACGTGTTGAAGCAAAGGTTGAAAAGAAGGGGGCTGAGGCAGTCACCTTGCAATACGCCGCGGCGAACAGGAATTGCAGGGGTTTGGAATTTATCAGTTATGATACAGGTCTTAAAATCTAGATATAAGCTTGAGATCAATGATTGAATTTCCGAAGGTATATGATGATAAGCAAGAATAGCTGGTATCAGCTTGCGGTGAACTTCGCCAAAGGCGTTTTTGAGATCCACCAAAGATACCACTAAAGATCGTTGCTTAATGCGAGCTTTATTTATTAAATGGCCCATCATTGCTGTGTGCTCTAATGTACCTGATACTTTTGAGGTGAAGCCTTTTTGGATTTGGTGCTCGATGAAGCCATTATGTTTCAGAAAAGTGAAGATGGAGTCACGAAAGCAAGAAGTGAATATTTTTAAGGGCACCGATTCTAAAGTGATTGGCCTGAAATTTGATGGATCGTCTGTGCTGTCTTTTTTGTGAATCAAGATAGTGGAGGCCTTTTTCCATTCGGATGGTACCTTACCTGAAAGCCAGACAACACGAATTATTTCAGTAAGAAAAGAACGAAGATAGGGACTTCGTTTGAAACAGATGATGGATATCTTATCAAGAGGACAGGGAGAAGTAGAAGCTTTCATACGCCTTATGATAGAGGTAATGGTTTTGTAACCAGGTGGCTCTAGATCAAATGAATAAGATGGTTCATTGAAAGTAGGGATCCATGAAGGAATGGTGAAATGTTTGTTAGGGGCGATGGCAGAAAATGTTTTGACAAAGTATTCGGTACATCCTGCAGCAGAAAAAGTTGGAAGAGCTGAAGTTTCATATTGAAGAGTGCGTTTGACGTAATTCCAGAAATTTTTGGAGATGTAACGGTCGTGGTTCGTTATATTGGAAGATTTAGAGGAAGAGATGTGTTTTTTGATTTTATTGCGAAGAAGGCTAGAGACAAACTTGATTTCAGTTAAAGGAGCATTAGAATGTTTCAAAGTTCTGAGTTCTTTTTTCAAATTCTTGGCAGTGAAATTGGAGTATTTTTCTTTGAGATCTTCGTTGCAGCATTCCATTGTTTCACAGGTTCTTTAAAGTAATTGTAAATGGTTTCGTTCATTAATTGGATAACACGATCAACCGTTGACGCATCGACAGAAATACTTGAAAAGACAGAGTGGAAATATTGGTTAGCTAACAGCCATTCCTGGTCAGATCTTGGAAGACGAATTCCAGGCTTGATTTCGAAATAATCCTCAAGGGGAATATCGGTGTGACTATCGTTATTCTCAAGGTCAGCATCGTTCACAACCTCAAACAATTGCTCTTCATCAAAGCCTCTAATGACTCTGCAGTTCCTTTGATGGATGCGGAGCCCCTTTATTCCTTTGCATGACTTGCCGCAAGAACACTTTACACAGCTTTCGTTGTTAATGGCTGCATCGCGATTTCCGGTTTCAATGAGCGGAATGTTAATGCTCCCACTGGGTCCAGTATGATTGGTTTGAACCCTTCGCTTGCAACGTCATGCATGCCGGCCTAACGAACTAAAATCTTTTTCATAAAACGAACAAATCACGAATAAAATCAAAAGATAAACGATAGACGAGCGAATCATTGTATTTCCAGAGTCCTCGAACTGTTATGCATCGATTTGTAGTTAATAAATTGCAATAAATTAAATCCAGGCGTAGTAAGTCGCAGTCAAACAGGAGCCGTGTACAGAAGCGTCCGCACGCTACCGCTCAACGGATAATAATGATAATAACAATAGTTATAATAATAAAAAGAAGAAGAAGAAGAAGAAGAAGAAGAAGAAGAAGAAGAAGAGGAAGAAGAAGAAGAAGAAGAAGAAGAAGTAGAAGAGGAAGAAGAAGAAGAAGAAGAGAATGAAGAAGAAGAAAAAGAAAAAGAAAAAAAGAAGAGAATGAAGAAGAAGAGAAAGAAAAAGAAGAAGAAGAAGAAGAGAATGAAGAAGAAGAAGAAGATAAAGAAGAAGAAGATAAAGAAGAAAAAGAAAAAGAAGAAGAAAAGAAGATAAAGAAGAAGAAAAAGAACATAAAGAAGAGAATGAAGAAGAAGAGAAAGAAGAAGAACAGGGATTCAAAGGTTATAAAATTCGTGGGAAGAAAACTTCGAAGTTGCGATGGTGGCGACATCAGTGGCGACACCAGTGGCGACATCAGTGGCGACATCAGTGGCGACATCAGTGGCGACATCAGTGGCGACATCAGTGGCGACATCAGTGGCTTTCAGGACTTTCGATTTTCCCTCTTGCGAACCAGTATTTGCACGCAAAAAACAGAGTTTCAGCTTCCTTTTTATCGAAAGGATCAAGAACGTCTATTATATCATCTGTCATTGGCAAAACCTTTTCTATAGCTAGGTCTTCTATAGTTGATATTCTTCCCTATTACCAGGGGCGTAGCTAGCGGGGGTGAAGGGGGGGATGTAACACCCCCCAGATACGTCATGAATTCGTCGTTAAATCTTCAGTTTGTCTACAAAATCCTTAGTTTGTCGGTAAAATCATCTATCAGTAGGTGAAATAGCACCTAAATTTTTCTCCATCCATGTCTTTGTCGGTAAATTTGTCTATTGATGACCCTGCACCCCCTAGCCTGGAAGGTCAAGCGAAGCCACAGGCTGCTCCATTATAGTCTTCCATGTAGAACAGAGAGCATGTTGAAAGGCTTAGGTTTATTTACATTAAATTTCAAAAACTGGCGAAAATGGCGACACCACATTAACAATAGCTGCACAGGTCAGCAAGTCAACTGAAATTTCCTAGTGCATCTCTATTTTATGTCTCTGTAGCAAGGAATATTATGTATGCAGCCGTGTCCGGTGCATAAAAATTAAGAGTTTTGAAATTAGTTTTTGCGAATAAAGGTTGCTTATGTTTGATCGGTTTACTTGTCTATAAAAATGTTTAAGAAGATGCCTCCACACGTTAAGCGTTTATAGTTTTCTTCAGTTGACGTAATTTGACTTCAACTGGCCTAATTTGACTTCGATTGGCGTAATTTGACTTCAATAGGCGTGAATTGACTTCAGTGGGCTTCAGCTGACTTCAATTGGCTAAAGTTGACCAATTTGGTATTCTCTCCCTATTAACGGAATCGAATTAAACTATACATTATTCGATGCACAAGAACCTGATGATTCCAACCATATCAAAATAACTGGCAAATATTTCAAATCGATAATTTCCAGGTATATTTTTTGCTTAAATGATTTTTCCACCTTCAACAGCTATTTTGTACCCTTGCGTTTAAGGTAGCAAAATCTGACTTATATCAGCAGAAAGCGCAGATCCTAAGCTACCAGTGTCTCTCAGATTTTTCAAATTCCTCCTCCTTTTGAAACTATACCTTGTCCAAAATCTGTAAACAATTTGTCTTTCCTTCCGTGATTGTATTTGGCTATAAAAGACGTACCAAAGCAAATAAAAACAATTCTGAGACATACTTTGCTTACCCGACATTTGTCCTGACTTTGTGCAATTTTTGAGCCATTCCATTGGTTCCTTTGGGTAGAAAATAGCTTTTTTGTACCTGTATGTAGAGGAACTGAGTCCAGAGAAAAGGGGATTTTACTGATGGCACTTGAAAGGTACACGCGTAAATCACAGCGTAACCCGGGTGAAGTCATTTGAAGCTTAAAGACCAATTAGTCTGTTTAAATAAACACAGGCATACCTGGGATACATAGCCGTGTTTGTACTAGTTCTTGTAAATGAGACATGCGACAAAGCAACGATAATCGGCTGAACAGGTCAAGATATTTTCAGACTTCAACTAAAAACTTTGATAAAAAATTATGGTCGGCGGGAAGAAAAATTTCGAAAGTATAATATCATATGGACTGCCGGAAACTGCATCTAAAATGATTTCAACGTCGATTGAGATTGAAAAAGACCCTAGGCAGTATTCATAAACTTTTTTGTCATTATGCCATAATGTTTAGATGGTACATAGGCTTAATGAAGGGCGCTTAATGAAGATCCATGGAATTGCTTAAAAAGTTTTCTCTATCATTAGGCCAAAATTTTCAAGAATCTTAAAGGGTTTAGTGAAAGCCGCCACCATGGTTGGCGGCAAGAAAAATTTTGGAAGTATAACTTTCTAGGGATGACCGGAAACTGCACTCAGAATATCCACAACATGCGTCACTTCAAGCCCAATTGAGATATAAGAAAATATTCATAAGCTTGTTTTTATCATTATGTTCCATAGTTTTATCTGCTTTGCATTTGAAAAGACCGCGATATGGAGACGGTAAAGGTATTGCAAAATTTTTGGAACACGTTTAACAATAAAAAATGAGCATAAAAATATCAACCGAAGAACAGTTCTATTGAGAATACAAGGCAAAGTATCTCTGTAAAGTTGAAACATTATTTTTTAAAATCTGATCGTTAAAATCTCCCATCGTATTTATGTCTCATTTCCAACCTCCGTGAGATCAAGTAAGTCAGTGGGTTGCTTACGAATGTTCGGTATCTTCTAGTGGGCTGCCAAGGGATGCTGGGATGCCATACCTACCCTGGGTTCTAAAGCGTCAAGGGTTATGCACGGGTGGCAAAGAAGGCGTATTGGCGTGGGAGTGAGGAGGAAGAAAGAAAGAGACGAGAGAAAGAAGTCTTCATATCGAAATATGCGCCGCTTCAAAACTCGGCTATTTCAAGTGGCCTTTTTTGCTTTTGCGTTTGTTTCCACGTGATTTTGGCGTCCCTTTGAAGTGTTGGATCGCCTTCGGCGCCCCCTGATTCCTGGTCGCTGGAGGGGCACGTGCCTTCTGCCCCCCCCCCCCGCGGCCATCACACCACTGCAACGTAGTTCTGTCTATAGCTCAAATGCGACATGAGAAAAAAGAAAAGTTCTAATGTGATGGCCCGGAAAACATAAGGAGTCTTTTGTTAGTATTCAGAGTAACTCATAATAAATACTGTTACTAGTAAATAATTTTTCCTTTTTATTTTGACTTTAGAATTTGATGATAGACTTTTTATCTAGAGCTGTTGCGAGGGAGGATTTGGGAATAAAATTAATAAAGAAGGGACATTCTAATTGGGTAACAAATTAACTTTTTCTTTTTCTTTAGATGTGATCATCTCTGAATTGCAAGTAATGCAAGCTGACAATGAAGGTAAACTCGAACATGTTAGGGTAGATCAATTGCAAAGTCTTCTCGTAAAAAAGATGCTCTTCACATTGCATTTGTTTATTGCTTTCTCAACAGCTCGGTTCTTTGATGGTTTTCCAAACATTGCCATGATTGCCATTGCACATTGTTTGGTAACAGCTTTAGTCACAGCTCAAATTTCGTTGTTATATTCCAGTGGTAGAAAAAATGCTCACCTTCCTGCAAAGCAACTTCAAATTCTAGTTCTTCCTTCTATTGTTTAACCACTTTGCGGAAAAAATTTACCCTCATGAAACCCTTCTTCTAAATTTCGTAGAATCAATTATTGCGGATGGAAACCTTCCAATGAATTTTAAAGAAGAAGTTTTGGTTATTGACAGCTTTCTTTGAATATTGTGGGTTTAAAATTTCCAATAAACATTATGATATTGTCATTTTTCCAAATTTCAATCTTTCACAGATAAGCGAAAAAGGGTACAGAGTTTTCGGGATACGGCAAACATTTACATGTTAACGTTTTAGAAAAAAATTGTCTCTTTACCTGACTTCATTCTTTTCCTTATTTGCAATTTTCGTCTAGTCCAATTTATTTTTTCCCTCCCTATATCTTTATTCTTTTTCCTTCTCTTCCCAGACATTTGGCAGTTGCGTGTTGTTATAGAATTATCTTGGTTGTTACCTCCTCTTCCAAACATCTCATGACAGAAGTTTCCCATTGTTTTAAATTGGACCGGGTTGTTACACGAACTCCCAAACATTTTGCAGTTGCGTGCTGTTATAGAATTATCTTGGTTGTTACATCCTCTTCCAAACATTTGCATGATAGAAGTTTCCCATTGTTGTAGAACAGACCGGGTTGTTACACGAACTCCCAAACATTTTGCAGTTGCGTGTTGTTATAGAATTATCTTTGTTGTTACATCCTCTTCCAAGCATTTGCATGATAGAAGTTTCCCATTGTTGTAGAACAGACCGGGTTGTTACACGAATTCCCAAACATTTTGCAGTTGCGTGTTGTTATAGAATTATCTTTGTTGTTACATCCTCTTCCAAGCATTTGCATGACAGAAGTTTCCCATTGTTGTAGAACGGACCGGGTTGTTACACGAACTCCCAAACATTTTGCAGTTGCCTATTGTTATATAATTATCTTTCTTGTTACATCAACAGACCGGATTGTTACACACACACCCAAACATTTTGCAGTTGGGTGTTGTTACATAATTATCTTGGTTGTTACGTCCTCTTCCAAGCATTTGCATGGCCGAAGTTTCCCATTGTTGTAGAAATGACCGGGTTGTTACACGAACTCCCAAACATTTTGCAGTTGCGTGTTGTTATAGAATTATCTTGGTTGTTACATCCTCTTCCAAACATTTGCATGACAGAAGTTTCCCATTGTTGTAGAACGGACCGGGTTATTACACGAACTCCCAAAATTTTGCAGTTGCGTGTTGTTATAGAATTATCTTGGTTGTTACATCCTCTTCCAAACATCTGCATGACAGAAGCTGCCCACTGTTTTAGAACGGACCGGGTTGTTACACGAACTCCCAAACATTTTGCAGTTGCATGTTGTTATAGAATTATCTTGATTGTTACATCCTCTTCCAAGCATTTGCATGACAGAAGTTTCCCATTGTTGTAGAACAGACCGGGTTGTTACACGAATTCCCAAACATTTTGCAGTTGCATGTTGTTATAGAATTATCTTGGTTGTTACATCCTCTTCCAAGCATTTGCATGATAGAAGTTTCCCATTGTTGTAGAACAGACCGGGTTGTTACACGAATTCCCAAACATTTTGCAGTTGCGTGTTGTTATAGAATTATCTTTGTTGTTACATCCTCTTCCAAGCATTTGCATGACAGAAGTTTCCCATTGTTGTAGAACGGACCGGGTTGTTACACGAACTCCCAAACATTTTGCAGTTGCCTATTGTTATATAATTATCTTTCTTGTTACATCAACAGACCGGATTGTTACACACACACCCAAACATTTTGCAGTTGGGTGTTGTTACATAATTATCTTGGTTGTTACGTCCTCTTCCAAGCATTTGCATGACCGAAGTTTCCCATTGTTGTAGAAATGACCGGGTTGTTACACGAACTCCCAAACATTTTGCAGTTGCGTGTTGTTATAGAATTATCTTGGTTGTTACATCCTCTTCCAAAAATTTGCATGACAGAAGTTTCCCATTGTTGTAGAACGGACCGGGTTATTACACGAACTCCCAAAATTTTGCAGTTGCGTGTTGTTATAGAATTATCTTGGTTGTTACATCCTCTTCCAAACATCTGCATGACAGAAGCTGCCCACTGTTTTAGAACGGACCGGGTTGTTACACGAACTCCCAAACATTTTGCAGTTGCATGTTGTTATAGAATTATCTTGGTTGTTACATCCTCTTCCGAGCATTTGCATGACAGAAGTTTCCCATTGTTGTAGAACGGACCGGGTTGTTACACGAACTCCCAAAATTTTGCAGTTGCGTGTTGTTATA